ATAGGCTCCAGCGCCCCCCGCGACCCTGAAAAGGATAAGCGGAAGCGAATGGATGGATGGATGGACATTCCCCCAAGAGCAGATTATCAAAGAAGTACGTGTGTACTGTAGCACAGTCTGGGTTCACTATAAAAATGTAAGATGCCAGTTTTCCTTAAAAAATAAACCCACTATTTTCCATCCCAGCTCCATGTTTCTGTTCCTTGATCTTACTATAGCTTTGCATGATTGAACATCCAAAATAATCCTTATTATCTTAATCCAAGGAGTTGCCCCTCAAGCCAAACACCATTTTAGAAGAACAATCTTAGCTTATATCAAACCATTACTGACATTAAGGGTATCTCTTCTCCTTCTCCATCATACAGAGCCAAGATCTGAAACAAATAGTCTGAAACTGTGTTTAGAGCAGTCTGAAAGCTGAGCCTTTGGCTGATTGGGGTTACCTGTGCATATGCTGTCCTCTAAGTGATAAACACAAGCCCCTTCACATGACTAGTAGAGTAATTCATGCCTCTATTACCCCTCGATTAGACTGCTGTCACTTTGTTGACTCTGATCAGCTGTTATTTTTTCCCCTGCAGGCTGTGCAAAATGTTGAAGCTGCAGGAAAGATACATCATGATCAAATCACACCTGTGCAGGTCCTGGCTTCCAGTCCATTTCTGTCCAATTTTATTACTTATTTTTAAGAGTTTCAGTGTTCTGACATCATATGACTTAACTGAACTTTTACAGCCTTGTATTCCTACCAGCACCATGAGGTCTAAGAATCAAATCAGATTGTTCTAACTCATTACGTGAAGCTTTAGCCATATTTAATGTGAGCCTCAGTCATTATAACAGGATAAAGTATGTGTGACAGGAAAGCAATGAATAACATAATTAGAGTTACTTTTAAATTTGGGACAAAAGAGGAAATGGGTATTTTTCCCTGATATTTCCACTTTAATACAGTATTCAATTTTTTGTGGTTCAAGAATTTAGTCATATATCTTATAATCCTTCACACAATCTGATATAGTATATTTGACAGGTGAGTAAAAACTTTCATTTGACTAATAATATATCAGTAGTTGCACTGCTTATTCACATTATGTGATCACCTCAATATGGGAACAAATTTCATATGTGAAATTATTGTTTATTCATGTCTGATATCAACAAAAACCCTCCTAATATTTTCCCAAACTAAGAGAATGATGCACAGCATATTTCTACAACTGAGTTTTCTTCACGGGGAGGGAAAAATGTTTGGCAGGGCAAGTTTCTAATCAGCCCAGTGTTATATCACATGGCTGGTCTTACTCTGAGCTCTAGAGGCGGAGATCCAGCCCACTCAAGGCACTGAAATCGGATTTCTGGAAGGTGGAGAGAAGTGATGTAAAATCACCAGAGGCAACATTCGACCAAGTGTTGAGTGGGGCGGGGGTGTTCTCATGAATTAATGTTGTCGCTGCAGGAGGGGTTTGGGAAAAATAAAGAGCCTAATAGTCCCGCTGTTCACTGTGCGTTCATGTGGAGTCAAGTAACAAGGCAGAGTGAAACAGAAAAGGTGAGTCTGGATGAAACATATTGATAAGTTACACTCCACTTACTGACAGCCACAGACAGATCATCTGCAGACCAGCAGTGTCTCCCGAAGATAAGAATAAGTGCAGTTACACCAATGTTAGAATATATATTTATATATAGTAGTGATAAACAGGAAATAGAAATGACAAAACAAAGCTCATGTTGTTTTCTAAATCAAGGAGACGAGCCCAAACAATCCCATCAGTAACCACTCTTGAAGGTAATAAAATAGAGTTGGTTCACACCTATAAATATCTGGGAATCTTAATTGATGACTCGCTTACCTTCAAACCACTTGTAGAGAATCTTGTGAAAAACCTGAAGTTAAAACTGAGATTTTATTTTCAAAATAAGTTGTGTTTCTCTTTTAATACAAAGAAGTGGCTTGTTGCTGCAACATTCTTGCCTGTGCTGGATTATGGTGATATTCTATATATGAATGCTTCTGCTCAATGTCTTCGAATGGTTGATTCTGTGTATCATGCTTCTCTGAGGTTCATCACTAACTGTAAATTTCAGACTCACCACTGTGAGTTATACTCTCAGGTAGGATGGCCTGCTTTGGTAAGTCGGAGGAACTCTCATTTATACAGTTTTATATATAAGGCAATACTTGGGTTGCTGCCTTCTTATATATGTTCCCTGCTTGTAATGAAACATGCTGGTCGGTATTCTCTTCGTCCGCATGGTTACTTGTTGCTTTCTGTTCCATTTGCCCGAACTGAACTTGGTAAAAGAGCTTTTGTCCATTTAGCACCCTTGGCTTGGAACAAACTGCAGAAGGAATGGAAAATGACTGAATTCATTTCATTAAGTGCTTTTAAATCTAAACTACGAATCCTTGAGGCCAAGTCCATAACATGCAACTGTTTCAATTAGATTGATTGTCATTTTAACTGACTTTTTTATTTTTATTTGAATTTTATTTTATTTTATTTGTATTCTTTCACTTATTGTTGCATGTGTGTTGTTGCTGCCTGTGTTTGAGTAATTTCTGTAACTGTGAGACATCTGCTGCTGCCTATCTTGGCCAGGTCTCCCTTGAAAAAGAGGTTTTTAATCTCAATGGGATCTTCCTGGTTAAATAAAGGTTAATAATAATAATAAAATGAAAGGTAGCTGTGGACAGCAATGACGATGCAAGTTGAGGCTGGTATTTCTCTGCTTTTGCTGCTGCAGCAGGCTGCAAACCAGAACAGCTCATTCAGACTCTCTGTGTGTTGCAGAGCTGGGAAAATAAATAAATAAACAAAGTGTAGGTGTTTTCTCATATTTTCTAGGTTTCCTGATAGACTGGTGGCGACACATAACTACAGTCATGCCCACAGGTATTTGTTCGTTTTCATAACTGTCAATACCAATATGGATTTGAAATGAAACAATGCAGATGTGAGTAAAATGCAGACCATTACTGTTAAATTACAGGTTTTGACAAAAATTTTGCATTAACAGCATTAACTTAAATTAACCAATACCCCACCCCACCCCCCCAAAAAGAAAAAAAAACCCAGTAGGGACTGTTTTTAAAAAGTGGGACTAAAGTGCAGATTTTTTCTTTTTTTTAAAGGAGAAAACAGAAAAATAAAAGCTAAAAACCATGGCATGTATAAAAACAAAATGGAAAAAAAATAAACAAATCAAATATGCAATATTCATGAAGAGGATGATAAAATATAAAGCAAAGATTAATATTGTCATCATAATAAAATTCTATAACATAATTAGCAGTACTGATATTGAACAAATATTAAATTATAAAAAAAATGAAAAAGGGCAACATGGAACATTTAAGTTAGCAGGCTGCACGCACGACAAAAAAAAAAAACAGATGCATAGGGATGCCATCCAAATTATTTTATTTTAAGTAAATAAAACAGAAAAAAGAAGCTTTGCACAAATGGGTGTGTGTGTGTAGTCAGTACCATCCGCGGTGTAGAGTCCATGGGTGGAAAAATGGTGTATGTAATGTTGTTAAATGCAAGAACCCAACTAAAAGCAACCACAGTCCAACAGGGTGTCTCAGGGAAATGAGCTGACACATATCTGGGTTCTAATGGCTTTTTGTGCAGTCCTGGCACACTGGGCCCAGGTGTTGCCAGTGTCACTAATTGTGAACAGGAACTCAGCCTCTCCAGTGCCTGCAAACAAGACACAAGTAGGCCAAAAGGAAGGCAGGGTGCAGTGGGTTGTCACACAAGTAAAACTTTATTTAGACAGCATATTAATAGATATTGCATTTGACAGTGGACTAGTAAAAATTATTAAAAAAACAAAACAATAAAACAAGTAGAAATAAAGTGAAATGATTATTAAAATTAACAGTAGTGCAAAAGGAAACCCTACAGATTGGAATCTATAAACTAAACATGAATCATGTAAATTGATCATTCTGATATCTAATATCTCTACATTTCATATCTATGGTTGGGCCTCATGTCACCAACAGCTGCTGGGTAATATTATTTGAGTCATGCTGCCGCACTATCTCTACCTTTCTTGGCATATTTGTGGAAACTTCACATCTTCTGCATGTTTTTCCAAGCCAGTGAGAATCTTTCTGTTATCTTCTCAAAGCAGCAGCTCCTTTTTAAGTGTTTTCTAGCAAAGTCTAATCTGGGTTTTCTGCCCCTGAGTGTAAACAAGGGTTGAAGGAACATCCTGATGGATGTTTTGTTCTACAGTAAAATAAAAGAACTCTGTGAGTAAGAAACAAGAGCTGTGAAAGAGATTCAGATCTTTTTTCTGGTTGGAAATAGAATTCAAACTGTAAAATATGCAGAAGTCACAGTGACACTTATGTCATAACTATGACACAGACAGAACTGATCATAGAAAAATTTCATGACTTAAAACTTTTACCCCTTAAACGTTTTTTCCTTACACAGCCCAGGATTGGATTTGGGAGCCTAACAGTAAATCTTGGCAAGACAGCCAGCAAGTACTAGATGGCTGAATTGCATCATTAAATTACCATTGACCTTGAAAGCAAATGAAATTTATTCAGGTGCATTAGCAGACAGCCTTCAGATGCTAAAATCAATGTATTCTACCTGTCCAGCACCAAATGGCAGACAGACAGAAAGTCATAGTAGCTGGTGAAAATACAGTAAGCAGAGCATTTAGCACTAACATGGAGCTAAATGAATAAATCCATGATCATTACGACAGAGTTCAGTGTGAGATCTGGTTCTGATCATATCAACATATTTCTCACTAGAAATATGGGGGCAGCTGTTGTAAAGACCCACCTTTTAGCACATCCCAGCACACCCACTCACTTCACCAGATGCACCTTGTTTAGTTCTCTCACCTTTGATTGGGTGTGGTGCTTGTCCTTAATTGCACTCGCCTGTCACACGTTATATAAGGACTGCATTCACTTTCAGCTCACTCTTTCTTCACTCCCACACGGGGGGCAGCAGAGGTGAGGTTCTGGTTGGGGTTTTGATTTTGAGAATAAAAGGAGAACCCTGTGAATGATTGATGACTGCTTATTCTCATTCTAATCGGATGAGCCCATGATGATGACTACTTAAACCCTGAGCCTTCCTTCCTTCATAACACCCTTATATCTGAACACATTCATGGTGTCAGAAATAAAGCATGTAATCATTGCAGCGCAACATTTACTACACAGCCATGTGCTTCAAGATGCACACAAACCAGACTGTGGGAAAGTGCAGTTACTGCTGAAAGACAGTTCATCGCTCATTCTTGAGCTCAGCTTGAACTTGAAATTTCAGATATGCGTTTATTTAATAACAGTAAGAAGCTTCCCAGTCTGAAAACTGGAACTATCCTGTGAATACAGCGAGCTCCAGGGTCGTGTTTCTCCTGCAGTGAGCGTGATCTCAACCTGAGCTTATTTAGACACTGATTCCTCTAAAGACATCAGCTCTGAGCGGTATTTGCAATAACAACCTGAGGCATTCATGAGGGAGGGATTTTTATAGGATGTGTATTCAGTTATGGTCAGGTGACTGGAGTGTTTAGTGCAGAGACTGAACATATTCAAAAAACAAAACTGTGACAATTGCTCTTTTTCGTCACATGCGAAGTTCAGACTGACTCATTAAAAAATAGTTTGTTTTAAATTATGCATTTATGGTTGGAAGGGCAGATAGATGATCTGTTAAAGGACTGCACCTTTCTGCCTCAAAGACACTGATACAACGTCATCTTAAATGTTTTGTTGTTCTTACTTTTAGGTTTGATTTGACTTCATTTAACCACAGTACAAAAATCAAATAAAAGTAAACTCAAGCAGGCTAAACACTGGTGTGAGTCTTTAATGGTCCCAAAGTACTAAAAGAAAATACAAAGAGGAAAAATAAGTGTTTATTTTGTGACTTATACCTCATATAAGGTTTTGTTTGATGAGGCTAAGACTGTTTAATGAATGACTGGTAAACTTTGAACAAGAAATCTGGTGCAAACTGCAGAGAGAAACTGTAACTTAGTTCAGTATAATTAACAGCCAGCTCCCACCCATTATTCACCCCCCCTGGAACCTGATACAGAAGACTCTCATTCACAGTTCAGTCCGTTCACCCCTGTTTGTGCCTCTTGTCAGTGCAGTCAAGAGCTGTTCTCCAAATGGATGTGTTTGCAGTTCCAGGCGACAGGCATAAAGGATGGTACCTTTCTTTAATGGCTCCAAACACAAAAGGTCCAGAGTTCGCCTGGCTGGACCCGTCCAGACTTTACTGCAACTCCCAGGTATGCCGAGAGAAAAGAAATGTTGCTAAAACTATTCGCTGAGCATGACAAACCTCACCTCTAACTGCACAAATACACATGCAGTCTCTCTTATCATGTGCACATTCATCATTTTATGCTTTTTTTTCCCTCTTTGCACTCGATCCAGGCTCTTGCAGACTGTGCCAAAGACCTTCTCAGTCCTTTCCAAAGTGACAACATTGACTTGGTTGCTGGCATGGATGCAATGGGATTCATTCTTGGTAAGAAAGCAAAGAACTTCACGTTTAGAGGTAAAATACAGGGCGAGTTCAGAGAAACTAAACTCAAGGGTAATTTTTTATTTTAAGACGTTGTCAGTGTGTACATTACGTAGGTCGGGAAACCCGACCCTTCAGGCAAAGATACTAAATTTAGAAAAACTCTGCCTCTAACACATGGCATGGCAATGTGAAGCTTCTTTTCTCGCTCTGTCGGTGTGAATGAATGTTACTGATGTTGTCTTTTCAGGGGCTTCTGTTGCCACCGCTCTTGGAAAAGGTTTCCTGGCTGTTCGCAAAGCAGGTCACCTATGTGTCCCCACCCAAGGCCAAAGCTACACAGACTACACAGGCAGGGAAAAGACTATGGAAGTAAGACTGGATGTGCTAAGACCAGGTTAATATTTCTTTTTACCCTTAAACCCCGTTATATAATTTACTGAGAAAGATGTTTGGGCAGTTTGTGGATGAGAAGGTTGATAAATGACTGATTTCAGCTCTTACATTTCTAAAAATATGACAGAATCGTTTAATTATTTATTTTGTCAAAGCCCAGTCTTTCTTTCTCCAAACTCCCCTGTCTTTCTTCTAGCACAGCACCATCTGTTGTCAGCTGAAGCAACTGATATTGAACAAATACCAGCTGTCATAACAAAGATGAATGCAGAAAACTATAAAACTGGTGTAAAGGCCTTTGTCCAGAGAGACGTAGAAAAAGTGATCAGATGAGTTATCCTTCACAATATTCTCAACGACAGGGCGAATGTGTGTGTAACGAGCACGCAGAGAATAGCACAGGCCTGAATGTTTGTTTCATTGTAAATCAATGAAAATATGCCCTAAATCAGGGGTGTCCAACTCCAGGCCTCAAGGGCCGGTGTCCTGCAGGTTTTAGAGCTCACCCTGGGTCAACACACCTGAATGAAATGATTAGTTCATTACCAGGCTTCTGGAGAACTTCAAGACATGCTGAAGAGGTAATTTTGCCATTTCAATCAGCAGTGTTGGATCATGGACACATCTCAAACCTGCAGGAGGCTTGGAGTTCTCCACCCCTACCCTAAATCATCGCATGATTAAACATTTCCTGACAGGAATGATGTCTGGCAGGATGACACAATGACAGATCATTGAACAGCTAAAAACGATGTGAGCCACATGCGATGGCCTTCACATATTACAGACGGAAGATTCTGGATAATGTGTCAGAATTCATCATAACACTGAATGAGGGAAAAGCTTCATTAAAACTGCCAAGAAACACTGAAGCTGTTCAAGTAGCTCAACACCTGACTAAGATGCTTTATTTCCTGTAGAGGAATGTCTTCTGAAGGTCCTGCCTGGGTCACTGCACCATCTCCTGGTACAATCTGGTATTGCATAACATGCGTAGGCCAGTTTAGGACATGAAACCACAGATGTTGGTTCTTCAGAATCTGTTGGCAGCCTGGATTCATTTTTAAACATCAATTTGCAATACGTACATTTAAAGAAGAATCAAGTCTCACAAATTCCTACAATTTCTACTTTCTACATCCTCTCCAGCACAAACAGTCTGGTGTGACTGTATAAACCGGTGAATGGAGATCCACAACGTTAGGGAAATGAGTATTCTCTTAATCTGAGATTTGAAAACAAAATACTAGAAGCCCCTAGAACAACATTAATGGGAAACTTATGCATTAAAATATAACTGTTTATTGTCAGCATTTGTTTTTGTTTCTTTCAAAAACACAAGATGTACCATTTTCTTTTAATACTTGTCCTTGTAAACAAAAAGAGTTAAAGAAGAAAGACTGAAGGAGACATTAACAGTCGACATGTGTGTCCCCACCGCAGGTTCGAGGGTGTTGTTAGTGGACCAGTGGATAGAGACTGGAGGCACAATGAAGGCTGCCATTCAGCTGGTAGAGAAACTGGGAGCCACAGTTGTAGGTTTGTCAGTCAATAAGTTAACAGTTACAGTGCTGTGCAAAAGTCTTGAATTACCCTTCTTTATATTTTGTTAGGAAAATGTAAAAAAAGATGCAAAAATTCATTGGAATGTGGAAATCAAGGATATAAGGCAAAAACTGAGTTTCTTCTAAATCCTTAAAGTAGTCTTCAGGAATAGTTTTCTAGGGTTTTTGATGAACATTTAAGTTCTTCTGTGGATGTTGGCTGCATTTTGCTCTGTTCTCTGTCAATACGACCCCACATTATGGAAATAATCGACCATAACTGTGTTTTTCTAACTAGGTATGCTTTTACTGCGCTGTTTTGTCAACAAAAAAAAAGAAGAAAAATGAAGCCAGATCCATCTTCCACAGGGCATTAGCCACTGATATTCAGTCCAATCCTTGTATAATTTGGCATTCTTCAGCCTTTTCACTCAATTTCCCATCCTCAAGAATAGTTTCTTCCACTGAGACCATTTCTGATGAGGCTTCAGTAAACAGGAGATGTATCTGAAGGGCCAGATGCATCTCAAGTCCTGCATCAGATCTTTGTTGGATTTGTCTGTTTCTTAAGGACATAGGACTTGAGGACACTTTCAGATACTGCTTATCTACTTTAAAACGTTTTTAAATCAACCACTTTTTCTTTTGTGCCTTACTTTTCCAGTTTGGTCAAAGACACACTTGTCCAAGATATGCTAACTTTTCAGCAAATAGCTCTTTGGCAATCACCGTGTTGGTGCAAAAGAAAAGCAGCCAAAGAAAAACTTTGAAAGATTTCCAGAAAAGCCTGGAGAACTACTGACTGGTTTAAAAACAGAGGTCGGTGCGCTTGGAAGCAAAACATAAAGAAGCAAGGGGTTGTTCAAGACTTTTGCAAAGTAATGTATTATATAATAACCGAATGACTCCCAACACTTGATTGTAAACATCTCACTCTGCAGGCGTCGCAGCTGTGGCCATCGAGAACACCGAAGGAGGAAGGTGGATTAAGGAAAACTACAAATTCTCTCACTGCATACCCGAAGAGCTGCAGAGCCAAATTGATGGAAAATACCTCGACTCCTTCAAAAGCTTCAACAACTGAACAAGTTAATGTGATTCCTTAAAGGTTCAGCAAAGAAGGCAAAGCACAGAAATTTTATAATACATGTATAGATATATTTTTTAAGAAATACAGTGAACTCATAGAATAGCTGGCTTTTTTTTTTGATTTATTCTATTTTAAATAACCGAAACAATTTCTATTCTATTGTTTAATGTCCTAACAACATGTAAAGCTCACCATGGGAAAATGAAAAATATGAAAACCACATTAGTTTTGATACTGACCATAAAAGTCTGTGATAAATCTGATTGTAAACAGAAAAAATATACCTTTCAAGTATCTTCATTACAAATATGGCTCCCAGTCTTTGGTCTGGGACCTCAGCGTGCGATGGATAAACGGAGAAGATGATGAACAAGATATAAAAACAAGAACAAATTTTCTTTTTAGCCTCTAACAAATATAACTGGTCACTTAAATGCAATGAAAAAAAAAAAAAGAGCCAAAAAAACAAATTCAACACGAGCAGAATATGACTGTTAAAATAAACTACAGCAGCAACAAGATTTAAGATTGAATTGAAGCCCTAAGTGAAACGAGACTCTGGCATTTTCTGGCAGGACGGGAACATTTTGTGTGTAATTCCTGTGTCACTCCACAAGAATCTGCACACACATCCCGTGGAGGAAAAAGCTTTCTAGGCCAGGAAAAACTGAAATTAAAACATGTCAGGAAGGGAAACATCTGAATCCCTCCCTGACCACAGAAATCCTTCCCGCTGAGCTGGACGGCAGCCGTGGTCATTTTCCACTCAGAAAACTCCTCGCTTTCAGTCCGTACCATCGATTTTAACCTCCTGCTTCCATCCTTACTGACAGCAGTTGGACTGTTTCTTCTTCGATGCAGCGTACAGATTGTTAGAATTGCTGTTAATCCCTGAAAGCAAAGCTTGGTTTTAAAGCGTGCGACAACTACTTTTGTGATTTGGGATTGTCTGGATACTCACTGACAACATCTCCGATTTGCCTTGATCCGCTTTTCTCCAGCTCAGCAAGAACGTTGGTCTCAAACGCTAATGATGCAACCCGAAAGAAAAACTCTCTCACGTTTTCCCCTGCAGCAGATACAGAGAGCATCTGTCAGGGCCTGTGTGAAAACTACTGCTGGGGGACTTTATATTTAAACAGACTTAAGGAGAAGCACTGGAGGTCTATAAAGAAACTAAAGCTAGCTCAATAGGCTTTGGACAAGTAAATCTTTTTATTTTTTTCTGTAGTTTTGTCTCTGTGCATCGTAGGATTTAAATCAAACAATCAAAATGACAGTCAAATGCAGACCTTTAGCTTTTATTTAGGTGGTTTTAAAAACTATGCATCAACTGTCCATGAATGACAGTGAACCTATACAAAGCTGCTGGTTTTCAGAGAATCAAAAGCTACCTGACAAACCAACATGACTTTAAATACAGGGATTATTTTTCCTTTGCAGTCTATGACTGAAAGCATAGATCTCATTCTTCCAGGCTTTTACTGCCGCCCTCTGTTGGTGCTCGTTTCAGGGTCTCTGCCTTCAGATCAGGCGATGGACTCCTGGTACTGAAGGACATACCACTCAGAAACTCATGGTTTGCTTCTGCAGTATGCTTTGGCTCATTATCCAATTGCACTGTGAGGTGTTTGGGTGAATCTGAGCACAGAGTAAAGCCCTGTACACTTCAGAATTCATCCTGCAACTTCTATCAGCAGCCACGTCATCATACGTGCACATGCCATAACACTGCCTCTGTATCTGATGGATGAAGTGGCACAGTTCAAATCATGAGCTGTTTCTCTGTTTCTCCATACCTGTCTCTTATCATCATTCTGGTACAAGTTTATCTTGATTTCAGCTGTCTGAAGATTATTTTTCAGAGCTCTGCAGGCTGTTTTGGATGTTTTCTGGCAAAATCTAATCTGGACTTCTTGTTCTTGAGAGTAATCAGTGGGTTCCATCTTGAAATGAACCCACACTCCTCGAGTGTTCTTGACCTGGTTAGATGTTGTCAAGTTGTTTTTCATAAACAAGGACAAAGTTTGCAAGCATCTACTTTAGTTGTCTTCTGTGGATTTTCAGGCCTTCTAGTGATGCTGAGCTTTCCAGTGCATTCGACTTGGCCACTGCTAAAGCTTTTGTTCTCTCTGAATATTTTCTGGTAATAAACAGCAACAAACACATTTTTTAATCTTTCTAGATTACAGTAGCTGTTATTCAAGCAGTGTAATACAGACTTAGGTGCAAATTTGGTAACTCTGGAACTGAACACTTTGCATTTACTACCAAAATATTTTCATGTAAACAATCGACTGCAGCGTCTTTCCCTGAGGAACAGTGTAAACAAAAACCAAAAGCTATTCTGGCTGAAGCTATAGACAGATTTTTCATCTCTAACACCTTTTGGAGGCAACCGGGCGACCGCTTTACTTGTATTAAAATCCAAACGCTCACCTGTCAGCGATGAAACCGCCCAATACTCAGCTTGGATCTCGTTTGCTAGTTTGAGGGCATCTTGTTCAATCTGGGAATACTGAGCAGGTGACTGTGAGACAAACCAGAACATACAACACATTAGCAATAAGAAAACAAACACAACTGTTTATTTTATTGTATCATGTTACTGACCAACTCATAAAAACAATGTCTTCCTAGCAACCGAGCTAGCTTAAGTACGGCTGTTTAAATACATAATGTCTTAGAAACGTTCCTGTGTGTGATTTCCACCTCGGTCACAACCACTTTAGGGTGTAGTAAAGGAGGAGAAACATTCCTGAGGTTCGAGCTTGGATACGCTTTGTGCTCCTGGCACCTATCCAAGCATTCACATTTGACTCCAGTATATACAACAGAAATGTCCGCAGGCACGTCCACTTTAAACAGTAAAAGACGTACGCTGAGGTCCTTCTTGGTGCCCACGAGGAACAGCTGAACAGCGGTGGGGTCGTTCTCTTTCAAAGCGTCTTCGAGCCACTGCCTTTAGATGGGAAAAGACTGCATTAAATCCACCAGCTGGGACAACAATGAGATAAAGGCACACAAATGTTATTCTTATATTATATATTTACCTTGCATGGTCCAGAGAGGCAATATCATTTACATCAAACACGATTATAACAACTGGAAGAGAAGAAGAGATCATTTTACTGCGTTAGCAGCTGGGAAAGCGACTGATATTTTATTCTTTGTAAACAGTGTTTTAAACTGAGAGACTGATGGAAACTTACCCTGGGCTCCTCTGTAGTATGTAGAAGCAATGCACTTGAACCTCTCTTGGCCTGCGGTGTCCCACCTTTAACACACAGAGAGCGGCTGACGAGCATAATCGGAGTGACTTTTTTGTATTAATGCATTACATTTTCCGGATCAGACTTACAGCTGCAGGCTAAAAGGAACACCCAGCACCTCGAAGCGCTCCATCTCAAAGTCAACACCGATTGTTGCTTTGTAGTTCTTGTCAAAGGTATCCTTGCAAAACCTTAAAAAAAAAAAAATCTATTGCAAATATATGCACTTACGGTCGGCAGCAGACTACATCATTTGGACAGGTGACCAACTCTGACAGGGGGGCATTCAAGAAAAAACACAGAAAATTGCTATGCTTATTTACACCCATACATGCACAGAGAAATTTAGCACAAAGTGCAAAAAGATCTGTGTTAGATTGCAGAGGCAAAGGAGTTTAGCAATTTTCAGTAGGTTCACGCTTCGAAACTAGCTGCACACGCTGATAAATGGCCTGTTTTTAGTTTCAAAGAGACATGAGGGGTCCTTTATAAAGTCTGACCAAAGTTGTGGGGGCACATTGAGTTTACTGGGTGGGTCTGGATCCCCAGGTCCCGATCATAAAACCGACACTGCCTGCATTTGTTAATAAAACAAAGTATCTAATGTATGATCATGGCAGACGCATAAAGGAACTTATTACAGAAAAATAAACTACAAGTGACAAAACGTGACACTGTTGTACTGCAATTTAAAACGTTACAGTCTCAAACTGTGTACTTCCATACATGTGGTAGATGTTGTACTGCATGCAGCGAGGCTCTCTAAGTGGTCCAAAACTTGTGTTTTCCTCATGCGCAGAAGTGACGGGACCACAAACCATCAAAGATTATCACCTGGTGACGCCAAAGCTAGCGAACACATTCCTAACAAGCATTATTTTTGGTGTTGTGGTCACAAACGCAGCAATAAAAACACCCATAACAGCCATTACAAAGCATAAGTACAGTAAAGCATATCAGGGCTGGAAATAGATGCCCCATTTTTATGTTTTCTACCTTTTTTTCATGCTTTTAACAACTGCTTCATACTTTTTTGATTACCGTGAAACCTAAAGCAACTGTAACACAGGTTAAGTATTGTGCTTCCTTGAACTCCCTCTGAGTTATTCATTTCCCCAAATTCCCTCACGCCTTGCAGTCACATATGAAGCGAGTGTGTCTTAGTTTACCTATTAATCAAGCAGGTTTTCCCCACAGCCAGATCCCCCACCACGATGACCTTGGATATTTTAAATCTGCTGAGAAGAATAAGAGAAGCAGCAGCAAGTAAATAAGAGCCACATAAAGCAGATCGCATACAGCGGCTTCACACTGCGGCACTCACCCCACAGTGCCGGTCCGCTGCTCCTGACACGCAGTCTTTACTTTATTGTTGAAATCATTTTTAGTGTGGATGGCTGCCTCTTTTCGGAAACACTGAAGAGAGGAGGGCGGGATCGTGAAGATGTGAACTTTTCTAGAAAGATAAGCAGGCAACTGGGGTCACTGATTTTACCTGAGGGAGCTGAGCGATGACTCGGTCCCGTCGAACAGGAGGAAGGACGCTCATGGCTGAAATGCGGACGGACATGAGGCCTCAAGGAAAACAGCAGCTGGACAGAAAGACAGAGGGAGCGGTGTAAACAGTCTGCTGTTTATCTTTAAAGCCACCCAAGTTAAACTAAAAATCTACCGAGACAGAAACGGGTTTAGTTGACCGAGTATACAAGGCAAATTCTAACCAGCATTAAAGTCAATATTTGGCATAAGCGCCTTTATTTTTCAACAATCTGAACTCTCTTAGGGAAGTTTTCTTGTCAATGCTTTAAGTAGTCTTTAGGGATAGTTCTCTAGGCTTATTGAAGCATTCAAGGCTTTTCTTTGGGTGCTGGCTGCCTTTCACTCTGTTCTTTTGTCAACATGAACCCACACTGCTTCAGTAATGTTGAGATCCAGGCTCTCGAGAGGTGAAGCCATGATCTATAGTGTTCCATTGTGCGTTTCAAGATGTTACTACATTGTGGATGAATCTCTGTTGCTGTGTTAGTATTTCCATCAGCTTTAATATGATCGCCAACACCACTGGCTTGTCACCGATTTTCAGTTCAGTTCTTTTTGACAGCCACCTTTCCACTGAGACTATTTCTTTAGTGAACCACAGATCTCTCTCAGGTATTGATATTTTTATTTTTTAAGGAGGTGACTTTCAGATTCGGTTCATCTGCCGTAAATATCTTACTTCTACTTCTGTTGTGCTCTACGTAGAATTTCTTAAGCACACACGGCACACCATCCTGAGATATGCAACTTTTCAGCTAATAGTTCTTTAAGAATCACCTGGTTGGTGCAAGGCTGCTATTTTTTGTCTGTCATGCTGTGTTATTTTTGATAACTTTCATAGATTCAGCTAACAAAGTGGCAACAAATAATCCTAATAACAAAGGGCTAAAAAGGTTTCTGTTATGTGTACACTCAACACTCGTTCATCCCTCGATTTAGGTGCCTTTTTGTGCTTGAATGATTCATAGGTCAGCGTAGAGTGACTTAAACACAAATATATTTCTGTGAAATTAAAGGACTGGACTGAAAATGGGTGAAAAAGCTTAAGAAAGACCACTTACAAAGAACAAAAGTCACCTTGGAAGAAAAATATAAAGAAAATCAAAGGTGGCTCGAGTCTTTAGCACAAACTGTAGTTAACTAAAACTATTATGCTGATTATTATTAGAAATCCCCAATTTATTGTCTGTTGACCACGTCTGCACCGAAGTTCGGATAAGAAGGTAATAAAAACAAGTGCTTAATTAGCCGTAGCTTTCTGAATGTGGGATACATCAGCTCACGCAGTTTTTCCTCTAACTTCTTTCAGGTTTGTTTGTTTTCGTTTCCCAGGCTACCAGGACATAGACAGTACCACAATTAGCCAGCCTCTTTAAAATGTTATTTTCCTAGAAATAGACGCGACCATGTAGACAACAGCAACAGTTTGTAAAACCAGACAACTGTGATCGGCCCTGATCCCCTCACTGCGTGGATCACATTTAATCCTATTGTTCATCGGAGCTTCACGAAAAGAGGAAGAACGCTGTTTTTAATATAGTCTAACATATAGCGGAAACCTGAAGACTGGGCATCAAGTTGAAGGAGGAGCGCTGAAGTTACCCCCGAAGAAGAAAAACCGCAGGAGTTACTCAGAGTTAACTCCTGAAAAGCAGCAGCGGGTTTGGAGATGTTACGGGATACCTCAGAGTCTCCGGATGGTCCGCTCGGTCCTCTTTCCTCCTCTGTTCTGCTTGTATTCGTCCTCTAACAAAGACGCTCTTCACTGTAAATCAATTCAGCTCCATTGTTAACTATGAATGTGTGTGAAGATGAAACGGATGAGCGGAAGTTGTGGGGATCGGCAGACTGGCACCGCTGCAGCTGCTGACTCAGGTCCCTGGATTTAGTTTTTCCTCCCACATTTTTCCCTGCTCGCCCCCCTGCTGGAGGAAAGAGGAATGATCGGATATAAAGGGCTCTGTCACTTACATTGTTAACTTTGCTTGTTTGTTTTTCTTTGTTACACTTATGTGATTTTTTTTTTTTACTATAATAGAAACCATGTTTAAAGGTCACAATGCGGGAAATCCTTCTGCATGCACAACAACAGCCCAAAAACAAAAACTACTGTACATATCTTCTATTGCCATTTTATAATACCACCCACTTTCACCTAATTCCACGTAACTCGAGTATTGCTTACTTTTAATGTCTTAGTTTTTTCCCCACAAAGGAAAAAAACTATAACTTCCTGTCCTTCAATACTGACTCTTCTGCTACAGAGGGCGCCATAACACTCTTTTGAATATCTGTCTAGTTGTAAGCGCAATAAATAGTAGTTAAATTTCTAACAGACATAAATCACTTGCTTGCGTTATTATATTATGTCACATATAGCAGTGCAGGCCTACATACATACACAAACTTGCACATACTAGATTTGTCTTTACGATGCAGCGGCGTGTCTTATTAAAATATGAGGCAGGGATGAAAAAGTTATTGCTGATGTTTTTATGTATTTTTGTGTGTCTAATATCCTTGTTGATATTGGCAAATAGGCAGCATTTGTATGGAAAGGTTATACAGAAAATAAACAAACGCCTAATATCATAAGTAGTATCCTTATGATTCTCCATCATTGTACTCACTGTTTTCTATATTCAATCCAGTCTTTTTTGATCTCTAGAAATATACTTACATAACTTTTATGTCATTTTTTTCTACTTTCCTCTTGGTTATATCTTTCTTGAATTTTTTTTTTAAATCTCAATCATAATTTTTACCTGGATAAATTAAGGATAATGTAATAGTCCCTTAGCCAAAAATTAATTGCATTAATTGCAATTCCAGCTTGTGATAAAAAAAATTATCTTCCTGGCACAAAATCGTTTCATATCATTCATAAGATTTATGTTTGACAGATTCTAAGCTAACAATCGTTTTACAACAGTTTACATACCAGAAATCATTTTTTAAAATGTCAGCAAACTTTCAGTTAGTAAACAGATGACTTTTACAGGCAGGTTAGTTACTGTCAAATGGGTTCATTTTAATGAGTCATGCATTATTTCCAGCAACAGCAATGATATGTTTGCTCAGTAATAATAAAAAAAAAGACATCCCATTGCTCGCTTACACTATCAACACATCTCTTTATTCTTCTCATCCCTATGATGTTCATAGTACACATGTAAATAAAGCTCCGGTTGCAGTGCTCAACATGTTTTTATTTTGTTTTACTTTTTGGTTTCATGTAATGTTTTCAAACAGTTCAACACATATCAGTAAACACAAAAATTGATTCTGTGCAGGTTGGCACACAAACTATGTGCTGTGTGCTAAAAGCATTAATGTGTTCCCCTCTCAGAATGGAGAAACATGACAAGATAATATTTTTCTGAGGTAAGCGTTGTTCAGCAAGTGAAATTTGATAAACTGGAATGTAATATCTTGATTCATTCATTCAAATCAGAGACTGGATCTATATCTTGATCTATCTATATCTATATCTTTGTATAAGGTATTCAAAACTTTTTTTTTGTTATTTAAAGGTTAGATGTGGAGAAACCTGTGGACTGGCTGTGGTGTTTAGGTCAACGCTAGGTCGCATAAAGGGAAGCAGACGTTGATTTATTTTTAAAACGATGACACTGATTAGATTCATTCACCGAATTGTACCTTTTATAGCTTTATTATTTCTGGAAGTTAGAAATCAGCCTATAGCTCGTGTAACATCTGCTTCTATCCTGTCATACTCCGTTTCCTTCATCCATAATGAGCAACCGCACGGGTCAGCTGAACACATCCTACACAAAGAAAAATCTTCTGGAGGTCACAAAACAATTATTTGACATATTTCTATGTGATTCTGTTCCTCACTCTGCCGGCCACACCCCTTGACAGGTCACCTAGACAACCACGTACACACATACTACAACACTAGAAACCACCAAGTATCCCACAACATGTAAGCTTCACCTGGAAAAGCCCAGACTGGCACTGTAATACCGAACAATGTGTTTGTTAAATGTGTATCATATTTGAGCCTCACCCCCTTCCTCATTCAGAGTGCACCCTCGATTCCTTTCCTCCGGTGTTAGTCCCGCCCACCGGGAGATGCAAGCGGAGGAACCGAGGAAGAGACACATCAGCCAATAGTCAAATGTGCTTTAGATGCTTTCTAAAAATGGGAGACGTGAACCGGAAGTATCTGTGTGTCAGCTGGTGGAATTCTCTAAATGTTAAGGAAAGGCGCTTCAATGCTTCCTTTATTATCTTCTTTGACATCGGATGCACTGGACGATCGTTTTTTGTTGTTGTTGTTTTAGGAAATGAGATAACCCGATCACGTCCCATAATCACAGCAACATGCCACCAGACAGCGTGATTAACACTGCGTTTTCAATCGCTTCAAGTTATGTTAAACCCACAGGTGAATGCAGATGTGAGAGTTGCTTCTCATCATGTTGTCGCAGGAAGAATCCATATATTAAAAATCTTAATGAATAAATGAACGGAGATTATGACCCATAACAAAATGATACAAGTAAATTCATGCAGTTTGTGTTATTTATGTTCACTGCTACAGTGCACCCTTTAGGATCATTTATTTATAGAGGAGTTATAGCAGGTCCAGGTGAAGGAGCACATATGAGCAATGGACCTCAATGCGACAAATATTTCATGTTTATTCATTCCGGCCATACCAAAACAGTCATTATTATTATTAGCAGTTGTTCTCTTTTACATGACCTGCCTAAAACAGAGTAAGAAGACCATTTACACTGAGTGGAGCTCCGAGCCCCACCACAGAGGGTGGCACAATAGTGTGGTGGTTAGTGCTGTCCTCATGTGAAGTGGAGTGGTGACTGCGGTTATCTACCAAAAAAAGCACATATTTCAGGTTAACTGATCTTAGGTGTGAATGTGAGTATATATCCAGTCTTTGTGTGTTAGCCCTGCAAAAGTCTAGCAATCTGGGTGGACCCTGCCTCTTGCCCTATGACTGCTGGAGTTAGGCTCCAGGTTCCTGTGACCCTGAATTTGACCGCAGTCAAGGAGAGGAGACCAAGCAACAGGCATTTATAAAGCATGTCAATCAAATATGACACGTGACACAACTACTGCTTGTTTTATCATCTCAGACCTGTGTTATTTTTAAATAAATTCACTGCATAACACAGTGGGACAATCACACAGATAAAAATTGGGAAAGGAGGAAAGCTTCACAAAGATAAATGAAAACATGAAATAAAAAGGGGCAAGGGCAGTTTGTGTATCAAAGCTGTGTGCAAAGCCTCAATAAGGGCATAAAAACAGAATCTAGTTTTCTCACAAAAATCCCTTAGTGTTTTTTGATGAAGGTAAAAACACTTCTGCAAAGAATATACCTGTGCATCCTTTGTTATTTATAGGTCGTCTGGCAAGCGTCTCACCCAGACATGATTTAGGAAGTGAGACATCCGTCAACAAAGATTATTTTCCAGGTCACAGCCGGGACGGAGGAGACGAGGAGGCACAAATCAGAGAAAGCCTTTAAACTCAGACTGACTGTTCATCAATAAAAGACAAAATGACACGTCATCACCTCTGTGATTTTAAATACAATCTTTATTTTCATGGTATCACTCAACAATCCAAAATACACAGTTCCTAAAAAAAAGACAGTTGTTGCTTAAATACAAGATATATTTTACATTATTGTGTTCAGGGTCGCATGGATTTTCTGTATGCTTGTCTCTATATTACGCACCACTCTGCGGCATATCTATACTTCCTTATTCACAAAGGCACGGTGGCAAAGGCACTGTAGCACAGCTCAGACACTCTGTCCAGGTCTGTTTGGACTTTCTTGGCATCAGTTGAAATAGAAAATGAAATGTACTTATTGTTAGGTTTTCAAATGTCACTGCACTTATGATTCATGGCATGGTTTTAGTCCACTAATGGTCAACAACTATGGACACTTCTTTTAAAATATATCAAAAGGGAATGCACACCGAAGGACATTATGTACAAAGTGCTATACATATATATACAGTTTAGGAACAAAGAGGAAGAGAGAACACATCTTCTGTTTCAAGGTCTTTAAAAGAAGATCTTTTCTGTAAAAGTATTATTTTGAAAACAAGCAACAAGATACATCTGACTGGGATTGTGCTGCTGCCTGCTCTCCATGGAGGCTTTCCCAGTTTCCAAAGAGCTACTGTTAGATGGCAGGAAGATCCAGCTCCACTTGAGTCAAATACAAACAGATTTAATATGACAACCACAAGAGTACCATAAATTATCCCACATTATTGTGTATTACACTTCAGTTTGACAACACTGTGTATTATGCACCCGTCTTTTGACAGTCCAGCATCTCTTCAGCCACAAATGGCTTCATAAAGACAAAGGGAGAGGTCCACTCTATTTACACATATAATTAAAATGAATGCTAAAATTCAAAGTCCAAGATCAGAAATTTCCTAATAGCAAGAGGAAAGCTGATCATGATTTTCCCGACGTAAAAAAAAACCTGCTACCCATGCAAATGTTAAACATGTAGCAACACAGAGCAAGGTTGTTAGCAACTGTAAAATACAATTTCCAGTTTTTTTATTTTTCTGATACGCATTTGTCAATGGACATTCTTATGAAAAAAATCAACAACACTCTTCTGGTGTTTTACTTTCTGCAAGGGTGGGCACACAAGAATCTGTTTTTAATTTAGTGACATTTAGTGTATTTAGTCATCAGAGGGTTTACATGATGTGGCATAGACATCCATCTGCCCTCCAAGTGGCTATGACCACATGGACTTCACTGCAAAGGCAAGGGCATCTCCTTGCTATCCATCCCCCAAGCAGGTGTGATAAAACTGCTCGTCCATGGTCCCTACAGCTGTGCATGTCCAAAACAAATATCATCATTTACTGTCTTAGTAATATCAGGTCTTACTAAGACAGCAAATGTTTGTTAAAATATGAATTAATGTATGAATTCTATAACAGCAAAGACAGTGATTTAAGTATATCTAACAGGAATAAATAATATTTTTAAAAACCTCATTTTGGAGCAGTCTGTAAACCTTTTAAATATTTTTACCCAGTTTGACTGTTGAATTCATACATAATGTTTGAAATTAAAGTTAATTTAAATAATGCATAAAAAATATGTCCTTAAATAAGTCCCTGGAAACATTTCAAGGCTGCAAAGCTGTGAGATAACAAGAAGGACATTGTAATGACCTAAAAGTCAAACTTTTGCTTGAAATATTAAAGATCTGCATCATGCTTGCTCTGAGTTTCATGAAAAGGTTGCAATTACTCTTATATCTGTAAGCTAATAATTATAAATCTAGTTAATACTGACTGGCTAAACTAACTATAACCTACTGACAAGTAGATTTGTTTGTTTAACCCAGGGGTCTCAAACTTGCGGCCCAGGGGACCACTTGCGGCCCACGTCACCCCTACTTGCGGCCCGTGTATTGACATGAAGAAATACAATGCAACTTGGCCCTTGAAGTTTGGTTTGTTTGGTTTTTTTGTACAACTTGAATACTAAAGTGGCCCTCCGATGAGATGACAGTGCCAGCAGGGGCCCACACCTCATTTAAGTTTGAGACCCCTGGTTTAACCTGTATGAAATTCCAAGTGTGAAAACATTATTTCTAATCTTAATGCAAATCAAAGCTAACTGCTGTTAGATGAAGTTTCATATCTGCTTGACAGCTTTTATCAAAGTTTTGATTAAAAATATAGTACTCAAAATCTTAGACCTGACATGATGCTTAACTTTAACATTTAAGCAATGGTTTAACACTTTTTGAAAAATTTATTTAACCCCCACTAACATCTGGAAACTATCTGGGCTACCATACGTAGCATACATAAAGAGGAGAAAATACTGGAAAATTAAATATTTTTGCTCAAATTCAACAACTGTTAAAAAACAAGAACAAAAAAGCAACTATTTGTTAATTTACATGAGTACTTTTTTGTTTGTTTGTTGGACAGAGCCAGGCTAACCGTTTCCCTCCTGGTTCCACGCTAGGCTAAGCTAACCAGCTGCTTGCCGTAGCTTCATATTTATTGTACTGGTATGAAAACGCTGGTTTTATGGTTTATTCTAACCAGACTCTTGGTAGGTAAACCACTAAGGGTCTTTTACAAAACCTCAATTTATTCTGTAAAAGTTATGATACAAAAAGACATTTTAAATACGCTAATAGTGGTAACATCCCCAGGGTTTGGACTTTTTGTGGCAGTATGTTCTTTGGCAGAGAGACACGATAAGGAAACCTGCCGTCATGAGAAACGCTGTCAGTAACAAAATGACAAAACTATAAAAGACCCGTAAACCTTTCCCCTGTCAATCGCTAATAAACTTTTTGGTGTTGTTGTTATGCATCCCATTCTGTCCTGCACAGCTCCGTGGGAAGAAGTCTGCACGGAGCAAGCGGTAGAAATAAATTAGGATCATAATATTCATCACCATCATAGAAACAAGAAAGTATCCACCGTGGTCCAGCCAGGAGTAGTTGTGGATAATAAACCAAGTGAGGTAGAACTGGGTGGTGAGGCGAAACATAATGTAGGTGAACAGGTTGGTGAGCTTGTTGACGTAGTACAAGGTGGAAGACTGAGCACTCGCCAGCTTCAGCATCAGCCTCAGATGCAGGGTGACGCTGTTGACCTCCACAAAGAGGGCGATTACAGCGCCGGCTACATAGAGCTGAGTGTACAGGGCATACAGGAAACACCAAATCACCTGAGGATGAGACAGACATAGAGGGTGGTGCAGGTGTTTGTACTAATAGCTAATCTCTTGTGGATTGTGATCTCATTGTTTGCTTTTCTTTGCAGCTCAATTGCTTTTATTGTTTGCTTTGGGACTTTGTCAGTGCATGTCCAGATTCAATCTAAGAATATGTACTATACTCAGTGGAAAACCATGATTTTTCCAACATTAAAAGTAATCGCCGGGTAATATTAAAGGATTTAAAGCAGTAGATAATTTAACAGCTATAATAATCCTTTGTTCAGAGTACATTATAAACAAACCTTACACTTTGGTAGGTAAAACTGAGTTAGACCACTTTTGCCTACAGAACTGCCTTAATTCTTGATGGCATAGATTCAACAAAGTGCTGGAAACATTCCTTAGAGGTTTTGGTTGATATTGACCTGACAGCGTCACACAGTTGCAGATTTGTCAGCTGCATATACATGATGAGAATCTCCCATTGCACCACATTCCAAAGTTGCTCAATTGGATTGAGATTTGGTGACTATGGAGGTCGCTTGAGTAAAGTGAACTCATTATTGTCTTCAATAAACAAATTTGAGATTATTTGAGCTTTGTGATATGTCTTGTTATCCCACTGGAAGCAGCCATCAGAGCACAGGAACAGTGTGGTCATAAAAGGACTGATATGGTCAGTAGCAAAATTCTGCTAAGCTGTTGTGTTAAAATTAAGCTTAGCTGGTACCAAGGGGCCCAAACTGTGCCAAGAAACTATCTCTCATGCCATTACACCACCAGCTGGCTGAGCTGTTGCTATTTTTTCATAACCTCATTTTGACCCTATCATCCAAATGTTGCAGCAGAAATCCAGGCAACATTTTTCAAATCTTCTGTTGTCTACTTTCGGTGAACCTGTGCAAATTATAGTCTTATTTTCTTGTTCTTAGCTTCATCCGGTGTGGTCTTCTGCTGATGTAGCCCATCTGCTTCAAGGTTCAATGTGTTGTGATCTCGGATATGCTCTTCTGCATACCTTGGTTGTACCAAGTGTTTCTTTGAGCAACTATTGCCTTCCTATCATATCAAAGCAGTCTGGCCATGCTCTTAATCTCTAACATCAACATGACATTTTCTCCCAGAGAACTGCCACTCATTGGATATTCTCTCTTTTTTGGGTCATTCTCTATAAAACCTTAAAATATCTGGGAAAACCCAGTAGTTCAAGAGTATGCAGGTTACCCTGACACTACCTTCTTTTTAATGGCTGGCTGGATTTAACATTATGACTTAAATTTTTGACTAAACCAGAGAACAAAACCTCGATCAAGTTAAGAACTCATAACAGTCACAGGCATATTGTCTTACCAGTGCATGATGGAGTAAAAATTCCCACGATCCTTTTGCATGTCCCGAGAGGATGATATCAGTTGCATCATGCACAAAGTAGCCTGTAAGGAAAAAGAAAAATTCTAAGATTTTGTCTGTGTTTTACTGCTCACTGTAACAAAAGCTTTCCTGAAAATGTTTCCCTGGTGTATTTTGCATATGGGGTGTTTAATTTGCAATAGGGTAATTTTGTTAAAGTCTAGCACCAACCAAAAATGAGAAAAACATGACTGACCCCTGTATTGAAATGATTTTGTACCAGTTCCATAGTTAGAAGAAGAGCACTTAAAGGTGTTTACATGTGAGGTCACAGCAGTTGTTTCTTATACTGATCTCATGGTCACTAGACACCTTTGGGTATATATGATAGTATATTTTCAATGGTAGCTGTCATTACATGCGAAGCTTATCAGTTTACTGCAATTCAATACAGTTTCCACCAGCATATTTCATATACAAAGACTTCTATCATGTCAAAGAATGCAAACCAGTAGGTTAAAACTGCCGACTGAAAAAGAAAGTAAAGATGTCAGGCTTTCATGTGTAAAGATAAGTAAGTAAGTAAGGATCATCTGCCTCAGCCTGTTCCCTGTAAAACACTCCCTTCTATCTGGCAGGCTTTTCACTGCATCGAGAAAATAAGCCGCAGAACACTCAGTATTAATAATAGTTAGTTACAGCCCTCACTGTAGTGAAACTGTCGCTGACCAACCGCATAAAGTGTGAGAGTCGCATTCTCCTTCACTTCAATAAATCTCTGCAGCCATCCGAAGGCAGTGGGACACATTATGCACGACTGTCTGCTGTGGTTGCCTTCATTAAATTATGTGCTGATCACAGCAGTCTGCTACAGAGCAGCAGCATACACGTCTACACAGCAGACTAGTTGATTAAGTATTTTCCCTGCTATGCAGGAGATGGCAGATCAATGTGTGTTTGTGTTGTGACCTCTCTCGCACAGTCCTGTGCAGGTTTTTCACCTTTTTATGTCTTAGCTTTTAAATGCATTTAGACTGTAAAGCAGAGGGCACGCTATCTTCCCAAGAAGCAAAGCCGCATCATCATCATCATAATTCCAGCCCCTTGTTTCTGAGGCATAGAGATACCTACCATATTTGGATGAGAAATAATTGAAAATCCACAAAGTGACTCAGTTCTCCATTAACCGTAACTGACACCTATCAGCTACAACCACCTGTCAGTATCCAATATTCAGTCACAGAGACTAATGATAAGAGGATGATGAAACCATACATGGTTTAGAGTGGGCCTACTTTATGACTGATGAGGTCTCTCAGTTTATCATTATGATCTAACTCTCACTGATCATGTTCTACTTAAAAAACCCACTCCAATTGCCTGTGGAGAAAAGAACTGGACTGCTCACCGTTCAGAACCATCTGGAAATTGTGTGATCCGTGTTAACGCGCTAACGGAGATTTGCCACGTTAATGCAGTTAACGTCATTTATATTAATCTTTGCACGTTTTAATAAATCACTTCATCCATAATTTCCCATTTTCCAAATATCATTACAAATATATGAAACATAAAATTTAAAAAATATTTAATATCTATTTATATTTTTTAATATAAAAATACAAAATGTAAAGAAATGAAGGGTGGCTCAAGACTATTGCACAGTGCTATATGTACAATTTAAGGCTAGGCTACATGAAGTTCTGAAGGTGTGTGCTCACATTTACATCAAGCAGTGGCTGGATCATCGATATCATGTCTCCACCTGCCTCCACTAATGCACAAACACATGAGTTTGGCTTAATTTTTAAACTGTTGGATGTGATGCCATCATTCATATCTACAATATTACTGAACAGAGTGGGACTAGTGGGATCACACACTTCTCTTTTTTTCTCCCCACTGTGTGATCACATTTTGCTGCTCTGCAAGATAACTTCTTTTTCTTTTTTAATCTGCTGAGCTCCTGCTGTCAGATTGTGATTGGCACATCTGCTCACCTCATCAAACACGTGCTTTGCTGCACCTACACGAACCAAACATTTTCTCTAGTATTTCCCGAAATGACAAGGTCACTGGAGCTGTAAATCAGACAAGAGCGGGTTGACAAACCAGAAAAATATTTGGTTTTCCTACCACAGTAAACATTCTCTTTAACCTCACCCCAACACACAAGTGATTATGAAACCATGTATCCAATCATAAAAAGATAACACAAGAATGAGCATAATCATTATTCCTGCTATGAAGATCTTTTACAACATGAAGTAAACAACAGTTTAGCAAACTAATATTTTAGTTACTTGACAATTGCATCAGTCTTCTTTTAGCACATAAATATTGAAAGAATACGTCAGTAATCGCTTAATCTGTTAGATAAAGCTCCCATTTAATTCTTACATCATGCACTAAAAGATAAATTTCTCAGATGCTAGTTTTGAGAATATTTGAGGCCACAAAGCCGGGTTTCCCTTCCATCCATTTACGGTCATCCAGACACAGCAACATTAAGTGCTGAATTAGTGTTGAGCTTATCTGACAGCAGAGTTAAACGTTTCTCGCCATCATCATTTTTAGAAGTTGCCAGCTAAACAGTTCAGTTATTAAACTGTGTCGACCTCATTCAGCTGGAGGTTTTCTAGTGACTAAGGGTCCCTTTGTACTATAGTATGACTGGCACTCTGCAGCTACGGAGACGCACAACAAGTCCCTCTGTTAAAGAAAATGACCTCCAGTATCTGGTGTGACTGGCCTCAGGGGCACTTATAGCTGTTTGCAGTAGTTACGGTAAATCTTTACAGATTTGTGTCTTCGTAGTAACGCAGAGACACATTGTTTAAACTACACACAGCAGAGCTCGACCTGATCGACGAGTTCTTGGGGGGACTATCTTTGGTGTCCATGGTGATTGAGGGGAGCCGCCCATTTAACTGGAAAGATTCCCTTCTGGGAAAAAGGTGAGAAGTATCTGTTGGCTGCTTCTCTAATGACAGGCAAAGCGGAATTTTACGTGCCCAAAATAATTGCAGTTTGATCAAGTAATGGAAGAAGAATTTTTCATCAGTCAACATCTCTCCCACATTTCTCTCAAACATTAAACTGGAGCTGCAATCGACATAAAACTAATGTACTACTAAAAATGTATTTTACTGGTTTCAGTTTCTCAGACATGAGGGGTTTTTTTCTTTTGGACCTTTAGACAGTTAGATATAATAACATATATAATATGACGATTTTATAACTTTTAACAGGAAAAATGATTCATCATCAGATTCCATGACAAAAGTAGCCCTATAGAACTATACTTTCCCAGTATACAACTACTGGGATGCATAACTATGAAGAAATATATGTCAATTTTGCAGTACCCTTAGCTTTTTTTTATCCATTATGTGTTTACTGACCTGTGGAGACGCAGACAAGCAGGTAGGATAGAGGGGTGTGGTACGAGTGGATGTCGCTCAGCGTCTCTGGCCAAACCACCACACTGGAGAAGGATACATGTTATGGATAGATGGCTCTGAATTTGCCTCACTCAGACATACATGGGCTCACTCCTGGAGAGAAAAGCCTGACTAAGCAGAGACATTAACATCAGCTGTTATTGGGTTTTTTTTATTTCATGTTCTACCATTTTAATCTCTAGCTCCTCTCTGTTATTCTTTACCATTCTTTGAAGTTTGGCATAAGGGGAACACCTTTAAAAGCAAAGGTTCCTCTGTTCCCCCTCCTTGAATAAACAAGCCACAAAAGAATAACTATTAATAAATGGCTGGTAGACCTTATCTGATATGTAAAGCAGTTTGCTAAACCCCTTACTTTGAATTGGAAAACGTGTTTTTTCACCCACTTAAGCAGTCAAGTGACTGCAAATTCAAATGGTCACATGTTTAGCAAACTGAATGGAGCTGACAGCTTCAAAGTTTGACCTTGATCCCATTTCTTAATGTTAAAAGATGAGTCATGAGCTCAGACCCGCCCAACATAACTCTTTTTCAAAATGCTTTCACAAGAACGGTTAAGCCAGCAGGTTTTTCCAGTTGATATATCAGCAGTCTGTTGCTTCATTGTGTCTGCCTGCCGGTTGAGGCTGAACTGATTCCTTTCCTTACAAACCTCTGAGTTGTGCATGAATGATACAAACAGCAATAAGAGCTGTATGTGTCTGTCTCATACTGTACAGTGGCAATTCCCTCCCCACTTGAAAATGCCATTCTCTCCCCCATCCCTCACCCTGTGTGAATATGCCCTTCTCATCCTGGCTGCCACAGGCTGTCACTGTTGCGCACACACCCCTACACACGACACATCATGTGCATTGTCAATAGACAATGGTGTCCCAGTGTGGATGGACAGGCAGATGTGTGCGTTGGAAGGACACTTACCAGGTCAGGGCCCAAATCCCAGTCAGCACTGAGTGCACCATAGAGACGGAGAGGTTCTTCCACTTCCAGGAGCGGAAGGCATCCTGCTTTACCACCTTGGGCACGGGCAGCCTTTGGAGCAGCTGGTGGGCCAACCTGAAAATCAAAGAGCACACCAGTACTGACGGGCCTGGGTGACTCTTGAGCACAGGAAGCAGGGCCTCCATGCTCTCCTTCCCACCCCGCTGTCTCTTGGCGCCTGCTCTTAATGAGCTCCCTCCCTTCGTCCCCCTGACGTTTTTTGTTTTGTTTTTTTACGCCCCTGTCAGCGACTCCTCGGCCCCAGTGATGAGCGAATATATGCGTTAAGAGATGGGAGCGTTGTCCAGGCCAGAGAAAAGAGACGCAGCTGCTGCTGCAGGAGATGATCCTAAGCTTCTTTTTCTTCCCCCCCCCCCAAATCTCTGCAGAGCTGATTTCCAACTGATGCTGCAGCCTTTCTTTTTTTCGTTTCACGTTTTCAGCGTGTCGAGCCTGAAGAGGTGGGCTTGGAGGGGATTCCGGTTACAGCTCATTCCAATGCGACGGTGTTTGTCTTCACGCTGCGCCTCGTAACGTTATGTCCCGCCGCTCACACCCCGCCTGTCTGTGGATCACGAAGGGGGAGTGGTGGAGACGGAGAGCGGGGTGGGTGGTGCCGTCGCTGCTGCGCCCTTAAAACCAGAGAAACGAAAGACCAGAGGCTGCGATTAGATTTCACAAGAAGAACGGTAGCACTGATCCACCGCGGTCACAGATCCTGCTAAAATGTGGATTTGTGCTCGTGCTGTCGAAAACAAAAATAAGCATAGGAATGTTTGGCACATAGACACGCAGGAGGCGCCGCTCCTTCGTGCGTAAATAACGCGCTGCGCGTAAAAGTGTTTAATTTGTGAATGAGTGTGTTGGGTACAAAGCTGCAAATAAACCCAATCTGTTGGCTACATATCAATATTACCAATAATTATCTAATCGCAATTCTAGCAAAATCCAAGCACAATATTAAAATAGTCCCTTATATGAGAGCTTATTACATCATTGTCGTTTTTATATTCACAGTGGTTTCATTGAAGAGTGCGCATTTCTCTTTACTGATAACACCATGAACAGTTGTTAGTAATATTATTACCGGCTGTGTTCAGCCACAGCTGTCAAATTAACGTAAATATGTCCAAACAACGACTTAAAAATAAGCGTTTAGCGTTTTCAGAGTGTGTAGCTCCATCTTTAGAAAAAAAAAATACAGCCAGGCGCTAGCATGAAATCACACCAGGAGATGGAGACAAAACCTTACACGATGACCTCACATCGCAACCAACAATTATGTGTCACTCAGTTTTTTATAAGACCACCAGGGGGGTACCTTACTCTCTAAACTCTACCCTGGAGAAGGGCCGTTGAGACATCCTGAAAAATTCGTCTTTAATAATCTGCATTAATAAAATTATTCCAAAACGGCACATGTCTTTCTGGTAAATAAAAGCCATGCCTGGATGCATCTGAATCCCCGAAATTCTCTTTTTACCTTTTGAAAGCAAACTTCAAATGTGAAAGATGAACAATATAATTAATCTGCTTATACCCAGAGGACAAAGCTCCCTGTAACCAGACACCCTGGAGTTAAAGAGAGAGAGAAATGTAATTTAACACCACTGTTTGTGTTTCCTGGTCCCCTCCCTGTAGTTTTCTTTTTTCTTTTTTTTTTGTTCTTTTGCAGTGTGAGATGCTGGAATCCTTTTGCTCTCATAGTTTTTTTAGGCACAGGAACCTGTAATTCCTCACAGCTTCAGGTTTCCAGAAAAAATACTTCAGCCTGCAGATGCAGAAGCCCCTGGTTTCATACAAGAGAAGCTGCTGCTGCTCTTTTGCTATTTAGGTCTTGAGAAGGTCTCCCAATATCATGTAATCTGTTTTAGATGAGAATCTTTCTGTCTGGCTCAGAGTGAACCATATTGATCTTGATTTCCTTTCTCCTGACGGCTGTTGAGAAACAGCTACAGTGGAGACTGTGAGCAGCCAGAAGAAAGAAAATCTAGAGGTCAGCTGAATCCAGCGATTGCATCATGAATAGCAAACAAAAGCAGGTCTATCTTAATCAGAAAGAGATTTAATTTCACTGTTGGGCCTGAATGTGGCACTGAAGGGTCTAGTAAATAGAATGTTTTTGGTAATGTAAGTGTTTTTAATGTTTTGTTACATTTCTAATAGTTGTACTGACTTTCTCACGTAGTTTGGGGGAAATCTGAGACACTAGTTTACATTTGTTACATTACAAAATTTTGAGCAGAAGCGGGTAATCCACACCTTAGCATGATCCAACAAAGCTTTTTGTTATGTCAGGAGTGCTTTTTTTTCAGTCCCAGTAAATTTTCAGTTGGGGTCAAGTCACACGACTGTCGAGGGAAAGCCACAGCTTCAGTAGTGTTTGGTCTTCTTTGGTTTTCAGTTAGTTCTTTCAGTGTTTTGATGTGTGTTTGGGGTCAGTGTTCAGCTGTAGTAGTAATTCTTCTACACAAAGATGCAAACCAGAGGGTGGAGCATGTCTCTAAAGAATGGAGTACTGCTTCTTCTTGCTCAGGGTGGAGTCCATTCTGTGTCCAGCTGCAGCAATGTTTTACTATGTGCTTAACTCACTGTGGTATCATTCTCTCTCCCATTTGTCTCCTCACGCAGACCTTTTTGTTACTGCCACAGATCTCATCATCACTCAGTATCTTCCATCACCCACAGCATTTGGTTTTGTTCTAAATGCTGCTTGTCCTCTGAGTCCACACAGCCTTCTTTTTGACTGTGCTTTTGCTGATTGGAGTCTTTTTGTTCTTGTGTTTGAAAAATCTGCCTGTGTGAGGAAAATGTTTTTCTTCCTCTCAGTGAGCAAAGCTTGTCTTCTGGTGGTGTGCCTACTTTTTCTTCTGCCTGACTGTGAGAAAACTGATGCAATTTCAAAGTGTTTTAGAGTGCCATACACGAGATTAGACACTGTGAAAGTGCCTCTTTGCTCAGAGTCTAACATTCTGCTGAGTTCTGATGCCATGTACCCCACTATCATAACGCTACTTAGCAGAGTACTACTGGAAACTTGAGGCCATATTTATACTGTATAAACAGCTGCAAGGTGATTTACTTTATAAAAGTCTCTGTTGAGTAGATCGAATCAACATTGGCAATACAACTATCTTGCTTTGACTTATTTTCTGACTTTAAAAGCTGCCTACAATATATATATATATATATATATATATATATATATATTATATATATAATATATATATATATATATATATATATATATATATATATATATATATATATGTTATGTGTACCAATGTTCATTAAAAATAATTTTCCTTATTTCGCTGCCATGTTTAGGGGGGTCACCAAAGTGAGTCATCTGCCTTCATCCCACCTTATTCCTGCTGCATCCATTTATCTTTTCTGTGCTCTTCCGCTGGGAGCTCCATATTCAACATCCTCTGTCCAGTGTATCCACTATCCCTCCTTGCCTCTCCCAGACTTGTCTTGTCTCCAAACTGCTAATCGTTTCAAATTTTGTCCATTCTGGTCACATCCAATGAAAATCTCACATCTTCAACTTTGCCACCTCCAGCTCAGCCTGCCACCAGACATCATAGCATGACTCACTACCATCTCTTTCACTTTTATTGCTATCCTTTTGTTGAAATCACCTCTAACTCTCTCCTCCACCCACTCCACCCTGCATGTACTCTCTTCTTTACCTCTCTTCTGCAATGTCCATTGCTTTGGATGGTTGACCCCAGGTATTTACCTCATCTACCTTTTCTACATATTTTCCTTGCATGTTCACCTTTGAACCTGCCTCCTTTCATTCACTCAATCGTAATCTATTTTGCTTCTATTGCCCTTCATTCCTCTACTCTCCAGGGCATGCCTCCACCTTTCCAGGCTCTCTTTCACTTGCTCTCTACTCTCACCACAGATCACAATGCTGTCTGCAAACATTATAGACCGCAGAGACTCCTGCGTGACCTCATCTGTCAACCTGTCAATCACCACTGAAAACAAAGAGCTCAGAGCTGATACCTGAGGTAATCCTAGTCCCACCTTGAACATATCTGTCACTCCTACCACACACCTCACCACTGTCTCGGTCCTCACACATGTCTTGCACAACCTTCACATTCTTCACTGCCACTCCTGACTTCCTCTTGCCGTTCCATTAAAAATTATAAAGAAAGATATTAAGATGAGTATTCATAAGCAGTTCCTCCTTTTTATCACATAAGTATTACCTTTCCTTACCTTTACCTTTATTACCTTTCCTAAAAATTTAAGGAAGTTTTTACACAAACGCAAAGAAACATGTCAACATAACCTTCTTCACAGCAGGCGTTCATAGGCAACATTTCAGTCCTGACTTATCTGTTGTCAGAGCTTATGATGCCAAGTGTGAAAAAGGGCTGGATGTTCAAGATATCTCTAAAAACAACTTTACTCCCCCACAATTTCTCATCATGTGTCATGAGAGATCTTTGGAGATTAGTAACAGATAATGCTCTTCAGTTGAGGTTTCATACCTGAGGTTTAGCGACAGTTTCACTGTCCTGCACCGTGCATTCCTGGACACTGACTCTCAAGCATCAGCTGACAGGAGGCAAAATATGTCACTTAGCTGGTCTGAGGAATGCCATATACACTTCAGGGCTGCTTTATGTGTTCTTTGTTGAGATATCATGTTCCTGAAAAAGAGCGAGGTATTGTGTTTTGGACTCACCCTCTACTCACCTATCTCTACACCACCTTTAGTGTCATTTAAAAATCTTGCAGGGAAATTGCAGGGTAAGGTTGAGTTACATGCAGATGACTGTTTGTGGTAATGTACCATTATTTCAGACTGATGATGATAGTGAAGGTATGTACTTTAGCACAGAGCAAGCTTTGTCACAGCACAAAGCATTTATTATTGAGGCAAAGAGGGGAAACAGTGCTGATACAGCTCCCTTCCTGCTTGTCTCAGGCAAGGGAAAGGCGCTTTATAATCACCAGGTGTCTGGATGTAAGAGTGCAATAGCTGTCCAAGCTCAAGAAGCTCTACTAATCTCATCCGTCAGACTAGTTCTCATTTCCATTTCCTTTTCACTTTCATTTCAATTTACTTGTTTCCTGGCACAAGTGCATGGCCGGATATTTCACAGAAAATAAGCTCTGCATTTTGCGTTTTGACAATACAGTCCACGATTTATGGTATAATTTCCCAAGTGTTACTATGTTGTTTTTTTTAATGTTTAAATTAAGTGTGAGTTTTTACTGGTAGGTGTAGTTAGACAATGGAGTAACAACAGAAAAGAAAAAGAAACAAATTATACTGTAAGTGTTTTTAAGTAATGAGTACCCGTGAGATACGTTGGAGGAAAGGACTTCTTACATTTTAATTAACCGTATTATCATTATGTGGTCTGTATTATTAAGTACCCTAACCCCCTAACCCCCTAACCCCACAGATGTAGGTATAGTTTCCAAAGTGAGGAGCTTTGTAGGAGTGTGTCATCTTATTCTGAAGGGACATGAGGGACAATAAGGTTGAGACCTGGAATTTTGTGGAGTCATACCCTGTAGCCTAAAGAATAAAATAAACAAAATGGGAAATCAGTAATAACCACTTATCGACATGTAAGCAGGGGGCGGTTACAATACTGTATAACTCAGGGTCACCCTAAATATTAGGTAGTTACAGTGTAATAACAGCAGGTTGATTTAAGCTGTAATACATTTCTTGCACTTGACAGCTACTTCCAATCATTCCCTTACTCAACAGTTGTCACCACAGTTGGTAGCTCCACATGCGTGATTTTGCAGTTTTATGCAAGATGTCCTTCCTTACAAAACCAGTGACCTTTCGCTTGTCAAGGAAATGTGGAAACCACTACACAGCCGTTGTGCTTAAAAATACTGTATAAAATACCGTTTAAGATGGATAAACATTATCGTTTCTTCTAAAGGACAATTTCCTCTAATGGGAAAACCAAACAAAAACAAATAAATAATATATAAATAATATATTATTTTCAATTTCTTTGTTTCTAAATGTTTCATGCTACTTATTACTTTAAAATGCCCAAATATTTATATAGTGTAGTTTTTGTCCTCTTCTCTTTTAAACCGCAAATTGTGACTCCTTTGTTTTGCAGTACATACAGCAAATCGAAAATGTTTGGAAACTACAATTTATGTAGGTATTATGAAGTACTTCCAATAAAATATAAATAAAATATAACCATATTTCGTTGTATTAAAGTATACGTGTAAGCATAATTTAAAACAATGTTCACCGTGACTGAAAAAATAATTTAAAAAAAGGGGGGTGTCTGTTTGGTATCTTCCTGTACTAACTGTGTGGAATCCGTCTGTTTTGTCCCTCGCTGGCTGCCGTGGTGCCAGAGGGGTTGCCTGGAAACGGCGGAAACGTTTGGGCGCAGCAGCGATGGAGAAGTATGAGAAAATCAAAGTTGTTGGAAGAGGAGCTTTCGGGTAACGTCTGGCTATACTTACACTTTATATGTAATTTATAAAAGTTCTTTTATGTCACACACATCAGCCTGTCTGTAAACGCTGCGCTGTCAGGAGCGAAAGAGGAAAATAATTTTTCCCCTTAAAAAGAAGTAACGGAAATCGTCAAACGTGCGAAGAAGACGACGACGGAGAAGGACGTGTTACCAGAAGTAACAGAGCACTGGACGCGATTTATTTACTTTAAAAACCAGCTATCTGAAAGGCATGTAGAGGTCAGATGAGTGTTAAAGTCTGCCAAAGTCACCAAAAATGTTTACCACCCTCGGTAAAACCCTATATACATTATATTGTCAAAAGTATTTGGTCATCTGCCTTCACACGCATATGAACTTGAGTGACATCCCATTCTTAATTCATAGGGTTTAATTTTATGCTAGTCCAGCATTTGCAGTTATAACAGCTCCAACTATTCTGGGTAGGCTTTCAACAAGCTTTAAGGGTGTGTTTATAGGAATATTAGACCATTCCTCTAAAGGCGGATTTGTGAGGTCAGACACTGATGCTGGAACAGAAGGACTGGCTCCCAGTCTCCGCTCTAATTCATCCCAGAGGTGTTCTGTCGGGTAGAGGTCAGGACTCTATGAAGGCCAGTGAAATTTCTCCACACCAAACTTGCTCTTCCATATTTTTATGGACCTTGCTTTGTGCACTGGTGCACAGTCATGTTGGAACAGGAAGCAACTTAGCCGCTGCTGTTCCCAATCTCTTCCACTTTATTATAATACCACTAAAAGTTGACTGTGGAATATTTAGAAGTGAGGAAATTCATAACTGGACTGGTTGCACAGGTGACATCCTATCACGGTACCACGCTGGAATTCACTGAGCTCCTGAGAGCGACCCATTCTATCACAAATGTTTGTAGAAGCAGTCTGCATGCCAAAGTGCTTGATTTTATATACTTATGGTTATGGAAGTGATTGGAACACCAAATTTCAGTGATTTGGATAGGCGACTGAATACTTTTGGTAATATAGTGTTAGTTGGTCCAGATGACAGGGTAAGATGACAAATGAGTGTAAATAGTTTGTAACCAGCCTACAAACTGAATTTCAAAGTTTAACTCTAATTTTTTTTTATTAAACTTCAACTAATTGAATGAGTTTTTCTGGAGTTGTGAAAAAGAATATGTGTTGGCTAGTGTTTTAAGAAAGAGGCACTGAAGTCTTAAATTGAATGAAACTTTTAATCTTTTAAGTGTCATGAAGATATATAATTTTAGCTGATAAACAAAAACCCCAAGAGGTCATAAAACACTACAACGATTTTTCCAATCACAAACTTTATAGCCAATGACAAAAACACTACCATGTCACATATGAATAAATATTAATTTGATGGTCAAAGATGGTCAAAGAGTCGGTTTTGCTTAGGAAGGTTTCTGCATGAAGTGACCTGGAAGAATAAACATGGCAGGCATAATCGGAGCTGGTTGAATTCTCTAAGTACTAAGAAAAAGCAATTCACATATTTATGTGTGATTTTCAATTTTATGTGCTAAACCTTTATAGCTTATTTTTAAATGATCAATATTATGCTACTGTCATAAAATCTGCTTGTTGTTGCTTTACACGAAGAAGGCAGCTTTATAAGTAGGAAAAGCTCCATAAATAAAGATTATGAGCTATATTGAGTTACACTAGATCATCAGAAAATATGACTGAAGTAAATAATCTCATTTTGACTGGTATGGTATACACTTTATGAGCTCCATGTCCCTGTTCATTTAAATGTCCAGCCTTGCTAATGAAGTTTTACTGTATTTCTTAGGGGTGGTTCTCTTTTTATGTGACTGTGTGAAACAACATGACACAAACATGTTTAAGATTTAGTTGTTGTCTTCACTCTTCTTAAAATCCACAACATCTGCCATCACATTTTTAAGAAGCTGTGTATAGTGTAAGTAAAGTTGGATTCTTTGAGGACCGTCCTTCTCTTTTCCTTATAGTGTCCATTACACCTGACCATTAAGGTCAAGGTAAAGAATTTTTTGGACTATTTGTCCACAGCATATATATATTGATTGGAGATGAGAGGGCAGTGGGAACAAAGCGTAGCTGAAGTTAATCAAACGCAAGTAAAGACAGACAGGAGGTAAAAAACTGAATCAAGATGAGTAATCTGACTATCAAAGCAAAACTGAAAATAATTGAACATTCAAAACATAATAAATAAAGCCAGACAAAAAGACTCACAATAAAGATGATCATAGAGACAGGGGGACACAAAGACTGAAACACTGGGCAGACTAGAATAACAATCCAATCAAAACAGGAACCGAAACTCAACAAATTCCAAAAAATCAATTTTCAGTAACATCTCAGAAACCTCAGGACTGTAACACAAATCAAATATACTTTTCAGGTACACAGATGGAGAAAGCTTCTGATGTCTTCTGAAACAAAATCAACTAATCTAACCCAAATATAGCAGAAATTTCATTTGTAACATTGACATTTATTATTTTCATTCTATTTGTCTGAATTCCAACTTGTGATCAAAATACCATAGAGGCAGGAAAAAGAAATCTTGTTTTCCATACCTGTACATTCATATCACTTTGAATTGGTGTTGGTCATACTTCACATCTGAATGATAAAACTGTCATTAAAAGATGGCCTGTTTGATGTTTGCACAATGAGACATGGGATTGTGCTGCTTACATTTCATAAATAATGCACATCAAGTGGATTTATCCCGAGCCTGAGCTGCTCTGCTCATTTTGCAGTTTATTTATAACTACTTAAATAATCCATCAGAGGTGGAAAGTCACAAGGTCCTGATCTGCACAGCTGTACTTTTATGTCAGTACTTTATTTGAATAGAACACAATGTTGATCCCACAGCATGGCAGAGTTATTTTTTTGAGCCCAGATGTTAAATCGGCTGATAAAGTGTTATTATTTTTCTACATAAAAGAATCCAGTCAGGTTATATGCTAAGAAGACATGCACTGTGTTGGTGTCCCTTCCATTTATTTCTCTTTTTATTCTGTGCCAGCCATGTGTGGGAGTAGTTCTTAAAGGTTAGTACAGAATGCTGTGAAAGGGTCAGATTTTTCAGATTCTCTATTCTTTTACAACTTTGTCTCACATTAGCTTAAAAATCTTAAGTTAAATATTGAGGTTATTTTACTGTGTTACTGTGTTTATTTGGTTCACATTATCGCTTCCCCAGAGAGTAACGTGTAATAAATCAGTGCCAAAGCTTAACAATGTCAAATCTAAACTTCAGCAAATCACCCTGCTCATATTTATTCAGGAAACGGTATCTCTCATTCTTCTTCACTTTGCTCTGCTGTCAGGATTGTTCACCTGTGCCGCAGGCGCAACGACGCGGCCTATGTCATCCTTAAGGAGATCCCGGTGGAGCAAATGTCACGAGACGAGCGTCTGGCAGCACAAAACGAGTGTCAGGTGTTGAAACTGCTCAACCACCCAAATATTATAGAGTACTATGAGAACTTCCTGGAAGACAAGGCCCTAATGATAGCGATGGAATATGCTCCAGGTAACCTCGCTATAATATCTTATTACACATCTCCCTTTTGTTAATTGTTCAGCATGTTACTTTTCCCATGATATAGTCCTGCAGGGCTCCATACCTTTGCTGGTTCCCATCATGTTAGGCCTGGGAATACCACATGAGGCTGTGTGATAGTATTACAATTCAGAAATCTGTTTATCTATAATGTAAAAAATGTAGATTGCCATCAGTGAGGCCAGCCTTCTGCACAAATGCACCAAAACAAAAACCTAAAATCATGAGGCAAGTGACTTTGCCAAGGCCTCTAAAGTTCTGCAATGCATTTCTAAATGACATTTTCTCAATTTGTGATTGGTTAAGTAGCTTGTTTTGCCAGTGGAACTGCCATAGCTTACAGATATTGGTGCACGTACATTGTTTTGATTCAGATATAAAACCTTACCGGTACATATTTTGGTGTTTTATGAGCATTTTTCACTCATTATCTTTTCTTTGTCATTGCTCCAACTATTCTAGCAGTAGTTTGTTTGATTTTTTGGTAAATATATCCTGCCTGGATTTATTGTCATATTTTTTCACATGAAAGAAAATTATTGAAAAAGTACGTGGACTTTAGTTTTTGTTAAAGTTCAGATTTTGCGGCTGTAAACATCCAAAAAGTCTATTTGTTGCAGATAAAAGTGTTGATGTGATTTATTTACATGGCTGGATTACTTATTTTTTCTAATGCTTACAGTAACATTTCACTTGAGCAACAAGGTCACCTGCTGTGATCTTAAAGCCCTTTAAAGCCTTTAAAATCCAATGTTAATTGGCTGTAATATCATTTCATTACTCAGACCAACATAGTAACTTCCATTATGGTTCCAACAAACCAAAGTCATCTGTGTTGTTTATTCTTTCCTTCATGTTTTCTCCATGCAGGTGGGACGCTGGCTGACTACATACAGAAGCGCTGTAACTCGCTACTGGACGAAGACACCATCCTTCACTTCTTTGTCCAGATCTTGCTCGCCCTGTACCATGTTCACAACAAGCTCATCCTGCACAGGGACCTCAAGACTCAGAATATTCTTCTTGACAAACACCAGATGATTGTCAAAATCGGAGACTTTGGCATCTCCAAGATCCTCGTCAGCAAAAGCAAAGCTTACACGGTGAATCGTCTTACCTCTTCCCTTCACTTTTATAATTCTAAATTGCATTCTGAAATGGAATTAAAACCTCCTTTATTTCCTGTTACAGGTTGTCGGGACCCCTTGCTACATCTCCCCAGAGCTGTGTGAGGGAAAGCCGTATAACCAGAAGAGTGATATCTGGGCTTTGGGCTGTGTGCTGTATGAGCTAGCAAGCCTCAAGAGAGCCTTTGAGGCTGCTGTAATAAGAGCATATACTTTATACTGTCCCATTTTGGGTGTGATGATAATACTGCATTATTGTTTTTACATTACTCTTCTTCTCCTTAAATGTATAAATTATAAACTCTTGCTGTGTGCAAAGGCATTCAAACCATTAGAGCTACTCTGTTTACACAATGGGGGATTCTTAAAATTTCTCAGAATATTTCATAAAAGCACCCGCATGTTGTCCCACTTTAAAGCACAAACAGATTGCTACTGCTTCAGATATCCACTCAGATCAATAATTCATTCAAATCTTTTTTGCTTTTGCTCAAGTCTGTTTTCACTACCGATTACACTGCGGTTTAGTGCTGTGAAAGATTCTTGTTTTGACAAGGATTTAGGGTAGATGATGAGAGATTATGCTTTTCACATCAATCTGTGATGCATCTTATGATTTCACTCTTTCATTTTTCTCTCAGAATCTCCCCGCCCTCGTTCTGAAGATCATGAGCGGCACCTTTGCTCCGATCTCAGACCGTTACAGCCCAGAACTCCGACAGCTAATTCTCAACATGCTCAATTTGGATCCATCCAAACGGCCTCAACTCAATGAAATAATGGCTCTCCCCATATGCATCAGGCCCCTGCTTAACCTCTACACAGATATAGGAAATGTAAAAATGCGCAGGTACAGTCTTTTTGCTTAATTAATAATGAAATAAGATTATTTTAACTACAAGAGTTTTGATGTCAGATTGAGATTTATTATGTTTTGTGTAGTGACTTCTGTCTTTATCAATATCTTCTTTTCTTCCAGGATTGAGAAACCTCTGTCTACGGTGCAAACTGGTCCTCAAGGTAGACCAGGAGGGAGAGTTCCTGCCAACAGGTCAAGAGGTGAAGCATGTAGTTATTTGACCATAGTACTGGCTGATCTAGACTGATAGCGTCAGTTACAAAACTTGTTGTTTGCTTTTTTTGGGCTGAAACAGACAGATCAGTTGGTTTAGGACCAGGAAAGGTGCATTCCCTCCCGCTGTCTTCTGTGTATACGTGGGGAAGTGGCATCTCGACCCCTCTCCGCCTCCCGATGCTCAACACGGAAGTGCTTCAGGTCTCTCTGGGCCGCACTCAAAAGATGGGTGTGACCAAGACTGGCCGTTTGATTACATGGGAGGTTTGTGTGTGTGTGTGTTCTTTGTTTTTTCTTTTTCTTTTTTTAACTTTGACTGCTTTTCCTGAAGTACAAATGTTCCCTGTAACTCTGACACAGTGCAAAAGGAGCAGCTTTGATCTGATATTCTCTCCTCAGCCTTGCTGATGTTTCCACTGTTAAACGTCTAAATATAGCTGAAAGAAATTATGAGCCAGTACTTGTTGTAGCAAACAAGAAAATCCCAGAAAGTTTTAAAGACTCAAATAGCAATATTACAGGACAGCATTGTTATGGTTGCTTGGAGAAGCTACAGTACTAAACAGACAACATCAGATTGAAGGATTTTTGCACTTTTTTATCCATATTTTGAGTTTTAAGATACTCTTGGAAAAGCATAAATTCTCTACATGGGTATTTGTATACTTTAAAAGTAACATCTGGAAGGCTTGAATATTGCAGACTCGTGATTTCCTCTTATTCTGTTACTGCCATAAAGAGACTCTCTGCTCACTTTAGTCTAATAACATTTTTTGTCACAGGCTCCATCAGTGGGGTCCTCTGAGGCCAGTCTTCCTGGTGTGGTGGAGCAGATCCAGCCTCAGTTTATTTCTCGCTTCCTCGAGGGTCAGTCTGGAGTCACCATCAAGTCTGTGTCCTGTGGTGATCTCTTTACCACCTGCATGACAGGTAGGTGGGCCATTTGTCTTTGGATACCCATCAGAGAGATCACAGCCGTGCCAGTCAGTTTAGTTAGGAGCTGTGCTGTAGAAAATCTCTTTATGCTCATCCCCTAAAACACTAAACCGGCGTTTGAGTGCAAACTTTGGATACAGCCAGCCATCTCTTTATCTTGATATTGTGAATCTACCTGAACATAACCCTCATGCTTGCCTGGCAGTTAGGAATGGTTGTTTCTCTCATTCTCACACTGTGGTACACTCACAGCGTGTTTTTGAAGGGTTTTGTCAACCCATCCAACACCACAAAGCCGATAACACAGGATTAAAGACTCTTTTCTCTTAGCTCATGTCTCTTTCATCAGTTTTCACTGTTGTGTTGCAGATTAGTGTTTCCTAGATGGGGATTAGAAGCATTCTGTTGGCCTCTGTAAGAATACACCTACACTCATCAACTAATAGTCCTGTTAATCCCTTCTTTTCATTTCCAATTTGCAGACAGGGGCATTATCATGACGTTTGGTAGTGGAAGCAACGGCTGTCTAGGACACGGGAACTTCAATGATGTAACACAGGTACACTATTTGAATGCCTTAGTAAATGCAATGATAGCTGCCAGTGTAAGAAATTAGGTATACCCTAATAAAAGTAATACAGTAATACAGTTAAAGGCAACAGCTTCTTTGTAAATTCCACTCAAATCAACTTGTTTAGATTAATAAAGGTGGATTACATGTTAAAGAAATCTCTCAATCAGTAGAAATTCTGTGACCCTGAAGTTAGTCTATAATACCATTTAATCAGCAGTGCACTACTGGAAACACTGTGTGGTTTAGGTGAGAGAGCTAGTGTGCAGGAGGCAGCGCACATGATGCCCACTAGCTAGTGGTGAATGTGCTGGAATATTAGCTGGGTTGTTGGAACACTGGAGCAAAAAAATACAGACGTCGTCCTAAAAAGCTGACAGGTTAGACTTCATTCCACACGCTTCTACACAAGCTTGTGTGTGTTTTGCAATTTCACAGTGTTAAAATAATGTCTTTTTTTCATGGCTTGATGTGCTCTCCCTCATATTTTTACAGAAAAGCACACATTAAAAGCAGACGTGCCTTAACATGTACAATGAATTGATAACAATGAAATAATAATGGATGAATGAATAATTAAAAGACTTTATAGAAAGAGATGGTCGTTAAAAAGACATTTTTAAAATTTATTAGGCAATAGATAGTACAGAAGCAGACAGGAAACAAAGGGAGAGAGAGGAGTGAATTCAACCAAGAATGATGCAGTTTCATTTTATACAGTTAAATGAATGCTATGAGGGCGCAACGTCCCTACAGATTTTTGATGAAAAGCTTTCATTTCATTGATGACACTGTTTTTGTTCTCAGCCCAAGATAGTGGAGGCCCTGCTTGGTTACGAGCTCATTCAGGTGTCCTGCGGTGCTTCCCATGTTCTCGCTGTGACCAATGAAAGAGAAGTTTTTGCCTGGGGAAGAGGAGACAATGGTATAGTAAACAAACCAGTTTTTATTTTCTTCTTTTTGGTGTTTGCTTGTGTGGTTTATGACAGGTGCATCTCAACACAGAGCTTAATGGTTGGGTCTCTGTCTGAAAGGTCGCCTCGGGCTCGGCACCCAGGACACCCATAACTCTCCACAGCAAGTGTGTTTACCTGGCGACTTTGAAGCCCAGAGGGTGGTGTGTGGAGTTGACTGCTCCATGATTATTAGCAACCAGCACAGCATTGTGGCATGTGGAAGCAACAGGTGACTATTCTGGTTCTTGATTCAAAAGTGTGACAAAAAATGAGGACGTGATGAGCAGTGTTATATAACGCTGAGACAACGTTTTCACTCCATGTTTTCCGTAAAAAATGCTAACATTTTTTCACTCTATAAACTCGATCATGTGGGTTGATGGTGGTAGGTTAAAAGGTCAGAGAGGTACTTTCCTAGTGCACAACGTGTGAGACAGCATTCTCTTAAAATGACAAAGCCTTTGCATTCACTCAGCGCTAATCCCGCTCTCTCAGAGAGGATGTATGTGTGAATAGGAGAGGGCAAGAGTAGTAAACAGCTTTGTTCACACTTCTGTGGCTTACAGACATGAAATACATACACAGTAGCAGTGAACTCAGCTCCAGACCTTAAACATGTATTGAATACTTGATAAATATGAAACTAAAAGATTACTGGCATTAAATGATAATTATTCTTCATTGATGGGTAAGAAGAACTTTATTGCACGATATTCATCAAAGTGTTCCAAAAATAGCAGGTGGAACTATTTATATACCATGAAACTTAACAGACTTCATAGCCAACGGGATGGAAACTTGATACACATGATAGCAAACTAGACTGGAACATCTGCCTACTTGGGATTTTTTCTATATTACATAATGTCAGATTTGTTTTCTGGATTTCACCGATTGCAGCTTTTAGCCAAAAGGCAAAAAAGAAACGATACTTATGAGCGAGTGCTGGTAATGTGTTTGTTTACAGGAAACAAACAGTCTTATATTCTCAAATGTATGCATGCTTAAACAAACACTTAAGATTTGGACAAATACTACAGCATTGTGTCTGTTAAAAATGTTTGTTTTGTTGTTTTATTGTACTCAGGTTCAACAAGCTTGGCCTGGATATGATCACAGCTGGAGAGGAACCGAATCCCTTGAATCAAGTGGAAGAAGTTCATTCTTACACTCCAGTCCAATCAGCCCCACTCAACACTGAGAAGATTGTTTACATTGACATTGGAACGGCGCATTCTGTCGCTGTTACAGGTTCAAGAAATTCACAATATTATTCTCTTTTTTGGAAAGAGTCTCGTTTGTAGCTATTATAGCATTTCTTTGCGAGTGCCTTTGTGTGTTAAGTTTAAGTCCAAAGGTGGACCCAAATACAGACTGGCACACAGAGTAATACACAAAGCAAGCTTTACTTTCATGCTGACAATAAGTTCCAGGGAGGAAAAAAGGGTGACTAATCCAAAAGTACAAAAACTGCCAACAAGCACATGACTTAGAAGCAGCACCTTATGAGAGAAGCAGGTGGTACAACAGATGAGTTGACAAAGAGGAAGACAGAACTACTTATACACAGAGGGCTGATTGGAAATGAGAAACAGAAGGGAAACCAGACAAAGGTGAAAACTATCAAGATGATCAACAAACAAGGGATAAAATCCAAAGCAGGATACAAGAGAAATCTAGGTATCAGAATAAAGCAGGAAATTAATCAAGGACACAACTAAAGGATAAATAAACTAATTTGAGGGGAACACAGAAAGACTAAATAGAGAGAGGAGCAGATATTTTAAATAGCTGATTGTTAGAGATTGCTTAACGGCAAATGTTTTTCCTCTTTTTGCATCTATACAGTCTGTTTATCTGCATCCAGAACCTGCTCAAATGTGATTGGTTAGCACCCAGACTAAAGCTGACTAGAAAAACAGAAACCAGAAAGATTGAAGAGATTAGCCCTGACAAAACTGCAGTAGTTCCCTTGCTTTTGACAGCATTGGGTTTAGTGGGATGCAACAAAGAATCCTGAATAATGTCTGTGACCTCTTTCTTTTTTTTCCCGCAGACCCTTGTCAGGCAACTGCGGTACAAAAATTAATATTACTGCAATTCATTAAAAACGTAAATTTTTCTTATCCGCACAAGGGAAAAGCTGCTAACAAAGTAATTTCACCACTAGTGTAATTCCTAAATTTTTTCTTGGTTTATGTCTCCATGTTTTCGTTGTTCAGAAAATGGTCAGTGTTTCACCTTTGGCAGCAACCAGCACGGTCAAATTGGCTCCAGCTCCCGACGTAGCAGCCGTGCCCCCTGCAAAGTGTCTGGCCTGCAGGGCATCACTGTGGCTGCCTGTGGTGACGCCTTCACCTTAGCCATAGGATCTGGTGAGTAGATGCATTTATTGAATCATGTTTGTAACATTGCAACAGATTTCTTTTTGAACCACGTTTCTTTTGAGACTTGAGTTTTGTGAACAAGAATCCTCAAAATATGTTGGATGGCTGACAGAGGAAACTGCAATATAGTTTTAAGTAAAGTGTGATATCAGGTTAATATACTTATGAGTAGAAAAGAGTAAATATCACGTCTTGAAGTTTTTGAAGACCCTGCACACCTGCAAAGGGGCTTTCAGTTTTTTCTGGCTGCCGTTCAGGTTGAAGATGGGCCGGGGATGTAGTACAGTTTGAGAGTTGACTGGATTACTGGAACCAATAAGAAGGAGAAAAGTGTGTGTACACACAGCTTAAGCTGCAATCAGGCCAAATCTGTTTTTCTGGCAAGGGAGACTTGCTTGGTATGCCAGAGAAACATAAACGGTGAGAACTACCATGTCTAATTATATTAGCCAATGAAACTATAAATTACTGTTAGACATTTCTTTTTACCTCTCAGCTGTAAAAGACTAATGGGGTATTATCATCAACCTGCCGGGTAGGTGATGTGGAGTCCCAAGTTTGTGAATGCAGTAACTGACATAGGAGTTTCAAATTGATACCATAGGTATAACTATAAAAAAAACAACAACGAAAAAAACGGGTGACTTCAAATCGATAACTTGAGAAGGAAGTCAACTAGGATTTTGAAATGGATAACATTAGATTTAATCTGATAGAGACCACATTTCATTGATAGCTGTTGTTTAGCTGCTTTACATGGGTATTTTATTATATCTCAATTTGACTCTGACTGGCTGTGTCACCACACAGTTATAATGTACAACACCAATTCTGAAAAAGTTGGGACCTAGGAGTTGGTAGCCTGAGAGCTCGACAGTCATAAACATTCCGTATTGATTTCTCTAAATTCTCTGAAATCTTTGATTATGTATTTACTGCAGATTACAAGAGATTCACAATTTAATTTTGAGGAACATTGTTCAGAAATTGTTTCACAATTTGTATATGCAGTTTTTTGCAGATTGGTGAACCTTTGGTCATCTTTACTTGTGACAAACTGCCTTTCTAAGATGATCTTTTTATACCCAGTTAGTTGCTGACCTGTTGCCGATTAACCTAATGATTTGCAAACAACTACCCGTACTGTTCCTCCAGCCGTTTCTATTTAGTACCACTTACTTTCTCCAGCCTCTTCTTGCCCAATGCCAACTGTTTTGAAATGCATTTCTATGATTAAATTAAAAATATTCAAAATATATTTCTTAATATCATCATTTTGTCACTTTAAACATTTGATATGTTTTCCATGCTCTATTATGAGTAAAATATGGGTTTTATGAGATTTGCAAATAATTGGATTCTCTTTGGACAGCATCTCAAGTTTGTCAGAAGTGGGTTTATAGCGTCAACTCCAAAATAAAGCCGATAAAGATGATCATTGCGGTAGATTCTTCAGCAAGTTTCACATTTCTTCAGGATTATTTTCACGCCATCCCAAAGATAAACCCACGGAGCCATCAGTTAAAGACCTGTGTGAATTAATGCATGCTGGGGTTCTGACTCTCAATTTGGTGACCATCCTCTTCTTCTTCTGTTTCTGTTCTCTGCAGAAGGGGAGGTGTACACGTGGGGCAAGGGGGCCCGTGGCCGTCTGGGAAGAAAAGAGGAGGATTCTGGGATACCAAAGCCAGTGCAGCTCGATGAAAGTCACCCGTTCGCGGTGACATCGGTGGCTTGTTGTCATGGCAACACCCTGCTGGCAGTGAAACGTAATATTTCACTCATTACCCTCTGTTAACAAACTCTGTGAGATGTTGGGATGTGGTGAAATATCACTACTCCCCAGATGAAAGACAAGCTTAACTCGAGACAAGGTCCCCCGATAACATCAGCAGAGTTGCATGTTCGTCTGTGTACAATAGTGAAAGGACTCATTTGTAAGTTTGAAAGCTCAGCTGTGGCCAAAAATGTGGAGTACTTCCATCTTTTACAGACGGGGTGCCAGGGGGTTTGTTTACACAAGAAACTAGTTTTTATGCTACAAATATAATTTTTATCTGCACACTAAAAGTAATTGTAGGTCACAGAGGTCTATGGAGTGGAACAGAAAATGGCAGTATAAACAGTGATGGTACAAAACTGAGGGCTTGGATTCCACTTTATATTTGAAAACAGCTGCAGAATTAGAGAAGATTAAACTGCATCAGAATTCAATAAGTGACAGAGATGCTGGTAATCCAGCAACAGGCTGCAGGGCTGCTGTTTAAATGGTTCTCAGGCCTGAGCTGAGCAGCAGATATATAGAGACCAACCACTGTGAGAGGTTTAGATTACAGTACAGACCATTGCACAAGTTCCCAAGTGAGTGAGCTTCACCCTTCTAACTCAAACACTTCAACATTAAACAACAGAAATGGAAAGAAACGGAGGGTGGTCCTAAAGGTCCAGTATAAAGATAAAAAAGGATTGTTTTGAGCTCTGAATCATGCAAAGCTATTTTTCTTTTTGTTTTTTTGGGGTTTTTTTTCTAAGAGTCGAGAGATAAAATTGTTTGTATAGTTTTTTTTGGACAACAAGAATGGTTCGTCATGTAGGTCAGTGTTTTCTCTACGTGACCTGATGTGTGTGGATGATATGACACATGCTTGAACAATGTTTCAGTGATCAGGATCTGGTGAACATTAGGAAACACATATCGTTAGCTTCATAGCATAAGTGCCTAAGTCATTTTTTGGTCAAATTGAGATTTTTGCCTAACTTTACTCCCCTACCACTGCTGCATCATCCTGTCCGTCTGAAACACAAAACACAAAAAAATGACTTAGGCACTTATGCTATGAAGCTAACGATATGTGAAGGCCAAAAGCTAAAACACACAAGTACAAAATCACCAGGTTTCAAAGTTTTCCTTAAGGAGGAAAGAATTAATTTAATTGAACACAAAATTAGTTCACAAACCTCTGAAAGGAACTTAAATTCTTAATGTGAGCTTTAAATTGTGAGTGGAAGGCAAATGTCTTCACAACAATTACTTGAAGACAGAATTAATTAATTATTTATTACTTTAAACAATGAACAGAGAAAATGTAGATAATTGTGTGCAGATGTAGCTGTGGAGTCACTGTGAAAAGCAAACATGTTTTTCTGGTCCAGTAGCCCAGTAGTAGTAATTGTGATTAAACAATACCAAAGAAAATGCAGCACTGCAGACCACTTCTCCAAAATTTGTAATATTGATCCTAAATTTAAAAACAAATAAGACCTGAAGTTCTTTTGTATTGTGTCGTATTTTTGCCTTTATTAGTCATGAGTGAAAAAGCAGATGGAGAAAGAAGAGAGCGGAACATCTGGACAGCAGGAATCACTCTGTTGCAGTGTTAAAATTTCCATTAGACTAGTCAGGACTACCAGACCTCCTGTAAAACATGACAAGCTCGTACTGATATTCATTTAACTGTCAGCCTCATTATTGGCCCACTGATTTATTGGGTTAATACTTTTTGTGCAACAACAGACGAGTTGTTTGCTGCTGGTTCAATTCATTCATCGATTAACCTGCTAATTGTTTTCTTTGTGGGATGAATGAATATTTTGTCTAACCAATGTCAAAATGTAGCGAAGATTTCAAGCCAAGGCGGCATCTTCAGATTAATTCAGTACAAAAACCAAAAGCTGTTTATCTTACTGTTATATTTAAAGGAGAGAAGATAGAACCAGTTCCCAATTAGGTCAAACACTTGCACCTGATTCAGCTCTACTGACATTGCCATTCTGTTTCTGCTTCAGCTCTGCTCGAGGAGGCCATCTCCAGATGATCTTGTCTTGAAAAATAACCCACTCTGCGGCCATCGTGAGACCCGACAGCAGACTGTGGAGGAGGACCGCTTCCTCCTAGAGACCCATCTGTGCTGAATTTAGAAAGATTTCCTTTCAAACCCCAGCTGCAGCTTCAGCCTTTCTCTCTCTATCTATTTTTCTTTCAGGTGTTTCATTCAATGGTTTGATTTCATGGTGCAAAGCACAAAAAAAGGTCACAGCCTTGCTGCAGGTTTTATCTCACATCAGGTCGGTGAAAGGAATGTTGCAACACAGATACTGAAGCTAGATTACAGGAAGTCATTAGGCTGGGCTCATGCAGTGAGCTATTGTGCGCTCTCATGTGCAGTGTCAGCACAAGAAAGACCATTAAAAGGTCAAACTGGTTTGGGCTCTCTCAAGCAGCCGGTCAATGAAACGAAAAGAATGAAGCCACTTGAGCGTTCATCAGACAAATGAAGTCAGCACCACGTCAGTGGTCACTTTGCGATTTATTGGATTACAGCGGTGTTTGAACCACATAACGACGGACCGAGCTGTGTCTGAAACCACTCGCTTGTTCGCTCATTCACTTTTGTAAGATAAACAGCAGTTCAATGAGAGGAGTGAAAGGAGATTTCAGACTGTTTACTGACTGCAGCAGGAAATGGTGCACAGGCTGTTTTCATTCCAGTGTAGGACTCTGAACAGCAGATGAAGTTCACAGTTTTATCATTATTGTCCTTGTAACTCATTGAAATCATGTTGCTGTACAGAACAGTGTGAAAACTGTTCATGTGATGACCAAAATCAAAACCTGCCAAAGTGTTCAGAGTACAGTAACTATTTCATTCAATGCCTCACTCTGATGCAGACACAACCATGCTGAAAAGGGTTAACAACAAATGAAAATACCACAACGTTGAAAAGCCCCCATTGTAGTAAATAAAGACAAACTACACCGCCTCAATTTAACTAAAGAAATAAGGGTCTTCCGTTGGGTTGAAGGTTCAGTAAGATCCTAACCCCACTGAGAATCTTTGGGATGTGCTGAAGAACATGTTGCACAGCGGTGCGGATCTCCCCTCATCAATATGAGATATTGGAAAATAAATGTCACAGCTGAGGACCTTTTTTGGGCCAGTCAATGTAAACTTGAACCTGTAATAATGAACGATTTGAAGAAAGTTGCACACAGAACCTGAAGTCCTAATAATGCAAAGTGGGGTCAGTTTGAAGTACTTTATATGCTGCTGCATGGCTTCATTTCCAATAGTAAATCCAGAGATCATCTGCAGTTACATGATTATATTCTGTATTTAGGCTGAGAGCAGTCTGAGACTGCACAGCTCAGCTTAGGCTGGAAGTTCTGTCTCTCCAGAGACGAGGGGTAGATTGACTGTCTCAATTCAATTAATGATTGGATGAAAAA